AATGTCATCGAAAAAACTGGGTAATAGAATAATTTACCAGTTTAGGTATTATTTTCCTATGGAAATATCTTTTTTTTGGCTGGCAAAACAAGGAAAAAAGAATCAATGTAAAGTTAAATTTTTTCTAACTATCCTGGATATAAGTAATTCCAATACATAGGCAGATTTTTTTTTATAAAACTTTGTCAATTAAACAAGAATATTATATGTACAGGATGTTAGTGAATAGTGGGATCTAACTTCTAGGATAAATAGTACTCATTAAAATAAGAAAAAAGTTATTAGAAGCATGAGTCCGCGAATGCTTAGTTTTCGAGATACAGGCGGGTGTCAAAGTTTGAAAAAAAAATCGTTTTTTTAGCTGAAAAATCCATTTTCCAATTTTTTTTTTCAGAATTTGGCAGGTTGGTTTGTGATAACAAAAGGTATCTTTTGACTGTAATATGACTTGCCTAATCTGAAAAAAATATCAAGGTTATAAAAAAATAGTGACGTGCCATTTTTTTTTCTACTTTCACCAACGTCGTTGCCCCCTGGAGCGCCACTGGAATAATTACGGTGAATCTAATTGAGTCAAAAGATATCTTTTGTTATTAAGCACCAACAAATCTGCCAAGTTTAAAGACATTCGGGGAACGGATTTTGAAAAACCGATTTCTTCAAGTTTTGACACCCTGTATCTGGAAAACCAAGCATTTGCGGACCTATGTTTCTGTTAGCTTTTTTCTTATTTTTATGAGAACTATTCATCCTAGAAGTTTAATCCCACTATTCATTAACACCCTGTATAAGCCTAACTATAACTGCATCAACAACTAACGGTTTTGCATCAATTGTTTGAAAAAAAAAATGTTTATGGATTATGCAAAACTTTGTGTTTTACCGCTTTGTGTGTCTGTATCCGGTTTAGGAATTTTAATCCAGATTGTGAGCTCAAACTGGAGGAACACGAATTCATATGCCGATTCCCAATCAAACTCAACTACAAATTTAATTAGTGATTCCCACGAGACCAACGAGACGAGACTTTCATAAAGTCTTGTCTCGTCTCTTCGATCAAATAAGAAGTCTTGTCTCGCAGCCTCGAGTCTCATCTCGTCTCGCTTCTCGTACGACAGTCTCGCAAATGTATCGAAATCTCGTCATGCATAGTATTCTTGATACCTATTTGGAAGTACCAGTCGTTTACCAGTAGTTATAGTGATTTGTGATTGGTTGATAATTTTTTGTTTCATCTGATTCATGATTGATAAACAAGGATATGGGGTTACTCCAAATGGGTATCAAAATTACTATACCTACTTGCTATAATCCCCTGTCCCCTCATGCACCTACCTATACTTCGGTGTTTCATGCTCCGAAATGATGGGGGTTAGGAAAATTGAGGTTATTTTCATTTGTTTTCGCGAAGTTGTCTGATAGGTCGTGATTCCCATAAACAGCGTTCTAAGGGAAGGGGAAGCTAAACGCAGCTATGGAACGCCAACGCTCATTTACACACCATTGGTAAAGTTGTAACCTTTATGTCAAGAAAGACAGACTGTAATCCTTGTCTGTGTCATGCATACTGCGTAAGTCAGACAAAAAAAGGGTACCAATACAAAACCAAAAAGGTTACACAATTTTGTGCTTCGTTGCCGTTTCAGTTGCGTTTAGTATATAGTTCATTGGGGGTAGGCGGATAACGGTTTCCCTAAAGTCCAGCTGTATGTATTTATATTCTGTGTACTTTGTCTGCACGTAGAGATATTCACCTGCAACTCTCGCACGAGACACGAGAAATCTCGCACGAGACTCGAGATGAGACCAAAAAAAGTCTCGTATCGTCTTGTCCGAGTATCCTCTCGAAAACGAGTAGAGACCATGCAAGAAAACGAAACTCTTGTGGGCACCACTAAATTTAGTTTGATTTTACAATATCAAATATCTAAATAATATCGTTGATTTAGTAGGCATCCGAATAATAGGATCATGATCTCTTATCATTTGACACCATTAAACACGAAAAATTATCAGCTGATGTTCTTCTTACAAACACCTGTTTTATGTGGACTCGCCTTAGGGTGGTTAACCCATTTCTTTTTCTATTTGGGAATTCCCATAAGTCGAACAGTCGATGTCCGCTCTCACTGTGTATGTGTACCAATTAATACACCAATTGTCCCGCTAATAATTCCACTTCTGACATCAAATTATCACAGATTGCACGTGGAAAGTGATTGTGCCAATCATTTATCAGGTTTTCTTAACTTTAATACAAATTCTCTTATTTAAACTGACTGACTGACTTGACTCACAAATTACGCGCTTTATGAACAAAAACCTTCAATCGAGAACTCTGTAGAATCACACGTAAATGCATGTTTATTTAAATCACTCAATTCGGCGGCGTCGGCTCTTCCGTACCAATGTAATTTCGTAACAATATTAGAGAGTTTTCGTTGTCTTTTAAAAGCGATTCCGATAGCCGCTATTTGACAGATTTGACATTTGAGCTATCATTTATCGTTATCGTTATCGTATTTCCTATGTTTTTGTTGTGGCTTGTTTTTGTTTTTAAATGTTTTTGGTTTTCGAAATAGATTCAATACTAAATTCCCTCAAAAGATCGAGAAATCGTTTCACGGATGAGGACAATATTATTTATTACTAGCTGACCCGGCGAACTTCGTACCGCCTCTGAATTATTAAATACCTATTAAATGTTGTGTTAACGTATCTATTAGCTGAATTAAATTCAGTTTTTTTCGATGGTGAATTTGGCTTTGGTTGAAGAATTTTATGTTTACTCTCTAGATCAGAAGTCACCTAAAATTAAAATTTTACATCATCCCTTTCAAGGCAGCTTGTGGGAATTTTTCTTGTAAAGTGTACCACCAAATAAATAAACTCAGGCACAGGAATATTCAAAGAATGTAAAGAAAACAGAAAAAAATCTACAGCGCAGCCCTGTAGCACTCTATCTGCACTGCACTACTCCATCTGTTTTTTTTTTTTTTTTACGGATATGCGCACTCGCAAGGAAATGTCCTATCACGCTCGAGAAGCGGCAAGTGCGCGGAAATATCGGTGTATGTTGGTCTTGAAACGGTTCAGGTTGTAACCTGCAGGGAAAACCGTCGCAGGGAGTTTATTCCATAGCGATGCTGTTCTCCAGAGATATGAATTCTGATATAATGAGGTTCTTGCTGCCTCTAGTTTGACAGTAAATTCATGGTTACCGTCTGTTTGACGGGTTCGCCTGGTAGGCGCTACTCTCGGTGGAATCATACGTGCCAACTCTTCAGAGCATTTTCCGTGATAGTACCTGTAGAAGAGAGATAAATCGCCCACAGATCTGCGATGTTCGAGACCATCCAAGTTACGAGTAAGTGCGGGGTCATCTATTCTACTCTATCTGCACTATTCTATCTGATCTACTCTTTCTGCACCACTCTATCTGATCAGAATAGTGGAATAGTTCTGTTCTAAATATCTCCAGTTCCTGAGCAGCATGGTTCTACTGCATCTTCAATGAAATTACCGCGCATCGGTGCGCTTCGTTCTAGGTATCATATATGGCGCCGTATACAAAATGGTTGTGGCGGACTCATAACCTGGCTCTCTGCCACTCGACACCAGCCGGACGGAGCACTCCGAACAGTCGGCACGGAACACGGCTGTCAAGGGATGTCTGAGAGGAGAAACGAAACTTAGCCACAGAACGTCAATGGTCAAGCGTCAAGAAATGACAGGAAGACCAGTTCGCGCTCTTTCGGAATGGACCAGCAACAAAATAAAATACACAATTAAAACATTGTAATTCTATTTATTTTTGGACATTTTTATTGTGAAGAATAATTGAAAGTAAAATGCTTTCCTTAAATTGTTTTTGTGCAAAGTGTGTGACAATAAAATCCACATGGTTTGCAATGAAATTGTGACGGTAAACTTGGTATCGGTTATAAGAGATGGCGCCGTATGCGGGCTTATTAATTTTTTTTTTATAAATAAGTAAAAAAGGTAATTTTTTTGTTTTGTTTTTTTTTTTTGATTTTTTCGATTTATTATGTTAGGATAGACAAAGACTAATCCAATAAAGCAAAAATCATAAAAATCAGTCCAGCCGTTCTCGAGTTATAAGTGCTTCCACAAAACACAACTGTGTTTCCACAAAACACAACTGTGTTTCCACAAAACACAACTGTGTTTTATATATATAGATTTTATGTGCAATCGAGTGATCCATCCCGAAAATCTCGCACTATAATTTTATAATTCTGGCCACATCATTTTTTAAGTACAAGCCCTGATGAAGCCCTAAACTGTTGGGCGTAACGTTGGCAAAGACTTAACAGGCCTTTTATTTTTTGTCCTAACCGACGAATCACCCTCCTTTATTGGATACCGATAGGACACAAACTTCTCTTTATCATTTATTATTTTCTTAGAAGAAGTATTGGCCAACAACCCATATGACGATGCATCTAATTAGGCTTCTGTAGTAGCCAATTTTGTAAATCCCACAGGGAAAATGAATGAATTTTGGGTACTAGGAAATTAAAACAAAGTATATAAACACAAACAATTAAAGAAAGGTTATGTTTGTCGAATTCGACTTAACGTTAACGTTAAGCGGATTGAACGAAAACTATTTTTACGATCTGGCAAATAGCGACTTTGTTTTCGTATTCGTTACGGTTAACCGTTCAAATTTGGCAATACAACGAAAACTCTCTATTAAATATAATATAAAGCACGCCCTTGGATTCTCTACCTGTACCTAATAGCAGGACTAGCACTAGCAGATAGGTATTAAGGTTCCGTCACTCCTTTTTACCCTTTTTGCTGCATACCGCAAAAAAAGATAGGTTCTGTTAAAAAAAAATATTTCAATGTTAAAACAACCTTTAATGTCATCAAAGTCACCAGAAATGCTCCTAAGAAATCTTGAATTTTTTTGTATCTACTTTCCGTGAGCTTAATAAATGAAATTTCATTAAAAAAAAATATATATTTAGGTAACAGGTGCTGGTCATGGTATAGGAAGAGAACTGGCTCTACAATATGCTTCCGAAGGAGCAACGCTTGTATTATGGGACATCAACGAAGAGGGCAATCAAAGCACTGCACAAGCAATCTTGAAAAATGGTGGAGCTAAGCCATATACTTATACGTGAGTTCTCAATTTCACCTGGGCATGTCAAATAATAACCAGATTTGCAAAAAATTTCAGCTGTGACGTTTCTGACAGACAATCTGTTTTAAATGTAGCGAGAAAAGTTAAAGAAGATATAGGCGATATAAGCATTTTAATTAACAATGCTGGTATAATGCCTGCCCATCCATTAGAAGAACACACTGAAGAAGAAATTAAGAAAATTATGAGCATTAACGTATTGGCGCATTTTTGGGTAAATATTTACTTTCTTTTCCTTCTGAGCTATTTCACAATAACGACTTCCATTATGTTATAGACCATTGAAGCTTTTCTGCCAGCCATGAAGAAAAATAATCACGGCCATATTGTAGCACTATCATCGGTAGCTGGAATAGCTGGATTACCAAATTTGGTTCCATATTGCGCATCAAAGTTTGCTGTGAGAGGATTAATGGAATCGTTGATGGACGAATTGAATTGGAACCCTTACAATAATGTTAAACTAACTAGTGTATGCCCCTATATGGTTGATACAGGACTTTGCAAAAAACCTTTTGTCAGATTCGAGAATGCTTTGAATCTTTTAGAACCTAAATACGTGGCAGCACAAATAATGCATGCACAAAGAACTGGGATTCTTGAATGTACGATTCCCCGGTTTTTATTGACAGTGAATTATGTTACAAGGTAGGTTAGATATAACATTAGAATTGTAGTTTGGCAGGGATGCGGTCTTGTAATCTTTAGAGATCTTGTAAAATTTTTCATTGTAGTGATAGGGTACAAAAAAAAGTCGCGTGCAGCACAGTACACGTGATAGAAGTGAATACTTATTTATCGATCTCTTTCTCTCTCTCTCCCTCATATTCTTCATATGCTTCATCTCACTTGCGAGACGAAAATTTTATAAATCGTGTCGTGACGCGACCTTGAAAAATCACTCTCATGCGGCCAAAGAAGTATTCACTTCAAAAAGTTAACTAAATTAAATTATTTTTTAAATAGAGGCGCACTTAATCACATCACCCAAAAACATTTTAAAATTGCATTTAAAAATACAGATTCTTCTGAATAGTTCCAGCTACCCATTAAATAATCACTTATGTAGTTTTGTTGTGGGATGGTCCTCTTTTGGGTCATTTAATAATTTTATAATGTGCTTTGTGTCGATAACTGAAATTATTATAGATAACACTATTTTTGAAACTTTTGTCGATCATGCTAAATGAGGTATCGATCCATTTAAAATCCATTTCCGTTTTGAATCTTGACATTTATTAAATCTGAAGATGCCAGTGGCGTAACTAAGGGCCCGCAGTTGCGGGGGGGCCTCGTGATCTTGGGGGCTCCGCAGGGCCCCAGGCCAGGCAACAAGAAAGTACTAAACTGGCGACAAGAATATTACTAAACTAAAAGAAAATACCTAAACCTAACCTATGAACCTCATAATACATACCAACCATTAAAAAAGTATGTCTAGCTTCTGATGTCTTCAACGCTTAATGTCCGACTAATTATTTTTTATATGAGAAAATTTTGAATAAATTAATTTAAAAGAAATCAAGGTCTAGCATTTACCTGGAAAAAAGTCATAACTTCATAATGTAGGTTACTAAAATAGTCATAATGCCTTAGGGCGTTATTTTCTAGCATAACGCCCTAGGGAATTATTTTGTATTTAACTGACTTTTATGTAATTTGTCATTATTCATCAAATAATATAACAGCCGGATATTAGCTAAAATAATGTAGATACTAGAATATTAGGTCTTTTTCTGCAGAAATCACAAAACCAGTCAGAGTGAAGAGTGAATTTCATTGGTTGAAACTATAGTTTTCTGACTGTTTTGAACCAATGAAATTTGCTCTGGTGATTACTAAACTAAAATAAAATACTTAAACCTGACCAATGAACTTTGTAATACATACCAACCATTGAAAAAGTATGTCTAACCTATGTAAGAGATCTCAGAGAGAAATGTTTAGACATACTCACAGATGCAAAATCAACTGTGGCCGTTTTAAGTGATATAGGTACTACTAGTACTATTGCTATCTTCGAAACGGTAAGAGCTACGGGGTCGGATTAAACAAAAGTGGCAGATTTTTGTATCCATTGGAGGTAAGTTCCCAGGGTTGCCAATTTTTTGTTCTTTTCCGAGATATAAAGGAAAATGTAAACACAACTAAAAGCCGTGTGAAGATAACAATGACATCATTTTGTAGAATCTTGAATCTTTTGTATGAACACTTTTTTCTAAAGTTGATAGATTTTAAAATATTCATTAAATAGGTTTTAATTTTTTCTACATTTTCCCTTATATCTCGGAAACGAACAAAAACTTGGCAACCCTGTGCACTTACCTTCAATGGATACTAAAATGTGCCACTTTTATCTAATTTGACCGACCTAGTCCCTCTTACCGGTTTGGAGATAGCAATAGGGGTATCACTTAAAACGGACACCCTGTAAAAAGAAAAATGAGATGGAAAAAAAAATATATACATAAGAGATGGGCCCCGGGAAAATCCTTGCGGGGGGACCCCGGATTTGAAGTTAGGCCACTGGAAGATGCCTCTGGAATATGAGACCGTTTCCTAACTTAATACAATCCTGCAGATACAGGGTGTCCCACATAAGAAAAGAATGCATGCAACAGTAATTCGAAGATAGGTACCTAAGAGTTCAAATCAGAAAAAAATTGAGCATTGCTACTCCAGTCATCATTGAGATGTAAAATTAATTTCTTATCACTGTATCAGTAACTATTCTCAGATAATCCATAGCGTATATTTTTATATTGGAACCTTTATGTATCTATTTTTAAAATGTTAAATACCTATATCTATGTATACGGGTGAGCACGGGATTACTTACCAAGCTCTATCTTAGACATGGAAATCGATATCAATTTGAAATTTCCACAATTTCACCATAAAAACAATTGACTGTGGAAGTGCCTTCAACTTCTTGATTGCAAATGGATTGTTCGCTATATTATCACAATTTTGGATTTTACGAAAAATTCTAAGCATATTAATGCATGATATCCTATACCTAACTTCAACAGCTTTCGAGAAAATCGCGACTGAAAATGTCAACCGGAAGTGAAATTATTTTTGTGGTAGGACTGTTTAGCGCCTCTAAAAGTTGAAAATATCGTATTGCTTTGAGCCTAGCTTCAATTGTTTTCTGTCAAAACTAAATTCTCGAAAATTGCTAAAGTAACCTATAAGATACCTATGCATGAAATATGCTGAGAATTTTTCGTAGAATCCAGAAATTTAATGATATAGCGGACAATCTTAGTTGTTGAGGGCACTTCTGGTCAAACCGGAAGTGACAGTCAATTGTTTTTATGGTGAAATTGTGCATCGATCGATATCAATATTATATGTATGTACATCCTCAAAATTTCCAATTGATATCGATTTCCATGTCTAAAATAGAGCTTGGTAATCTCGTAGTCACCCGGTATAGTGGTTGATTTTCGATAGTTTGATAGGGTACAGCCAAAATGGCCGAAGATACTGAGAAACTGATATACGCTTCCCGTCCTCTTTTTTAGTGTGTCATTTGATGGTGTAGTCAGATCTTGGCGAACAAGTTTGGTTTGCGAGGTACAGGGTGTTTTTCAAAATCAGCTGTTTTTTATAATCCTCTATAACTTCTTACCCTACGGAGATATAGAAAAAGTGCAAAAAGGAAAAATAAGTCTTTTTTCACGTAGAATCCAGTGGCGTACTTAGAAAAAATATGGGAGCTTTATCTTCTGAGATATTGGAAAAAACAAAGATTTTTCAAATGGAACACCCTGTATCTTATTGGTTCAGTATTTTGAGAAAAAAATTGCGAGTTCAACGATACATAACACATGATATTTTGTTTTAGTCTAAATGGCGAAAGCAACAAAAAACACTTTTTTCTACTACCGTGCGTAAAGTACTCACTTTACAAACTATTCAGAATACGTAAAATTTCACTTCACGCACAAGTGTGTAAAGTAATTCACTTCACACACTAGTGCGTGAAGTAATGTCAATGACAAATGTCGGACACTGTCAATTTAGTATTTTTCTGGTAAATTACTTCACGCTCCAGTGCGTAAAGTGGAAATATTTTCCGCACTAGTGCGTAAAGTATGTTTTTGTCTAAATTTATTTTTGTACACATATTTGATTGGTAGTAGAAAAATGTTTGTATGCAATACGTGCGTATAGCACCTTTTTTCACGAATGTGAATTATGACGTACGAGCCGAAGGCGAGTTCGACAATCACATTTTACACACTTGTTGCATAAATAACTATTTCAGGGAAAAATTAGAAACAAAAAAAAAATCTGGGATTGAATTTTTGGAAACTTTAAAAAAAAAAATCTGGATGCATTTTTGAAAGAAAAATGACAAATTTCAAAAAAAAAATCTGGATTTTTTTTTTCAAAACATGAAAAATTCTGGAATTTTCTTACAAAAAATAAAAAAAATTCTTTTTCAAAAAATAAAAAAAAATTGCAATATTTCTTTCAGGGAAAAGAGCTGAAATTTAATTTAATTTATTTAAAAAAAATCTGGATGCTTTTTTGAAGGAAAAATGACAAATTAATTTCTAAAACTTTCAAAAAAATTCTGGAATTTCCTTTGAAAAAAAAATTTTGGAAAAACAAAATTCTGGAATTTTCTTCCAGGAAAAAAAAAAAAAATTAAAATTTTATTTCGGAAAAAATTTAAAAAAAAAATTGAAGGGAAAATTTCGAGAAAAGAAAAATTTCAGATTTTTTTTTTGAAATTAGTCCGGAAGGAAAATTCCGGAATTTTTCTTTTTCGAAATTTATCCTTCAAAAAAGCATCCAAAATTTTTGTTAGCACTCAGTAGGTACTAAAAGTAATCACTTTTAACACCAGTGTCATAAAATGGCATCTAAGACACTGACAGCTTCCGTTAAAAATGACACTTGTAGTAACGTTTGTAGAAAAAAGTGTTTTTTGTTGTTTTCGCCATTTAGGACGGGAAGCGTATATCAGTTTCTCAGTATCTTCGGCCATTTTGGCTGTACCCTATCAAACTATCGAAAATCAACCACCCTGTACAGTGTGTCCCGCTTAAGGACTGACCACCCTTCTAAAATTTTTATTTTTCAACCGATTCAATTCATTTTTTTTTTGTCTTATAGCTACTCGAATTTGGCACTTATTTGGCTCATAATTTTATTTCTGCGGCTGTACTGGTGTACAGGGTGTCCACATTTATAGGCTCAAATTCCAATAAGTACTATTAGAGATTTTTTTAGAAAAAATCTGATAGCAGATTCTTGTTTAGAATAGTCTAAAACCCAAATGTACTAATTTTTGTTTCAATACGATACAGGGCGATAACAACAAATTTTACAAATTTAATGAATCAAACCACAAAAATGTATTAAGAGACAAGCTTACCACAAGTTTTGGTTAAGGATGTTCTAAAATTATGTTGTATCAAGTTTTGTTGTTCTCGGGGCCTCAAAAAATGACATTTTTTCGGTTTGGTTCCATTAAATTTTGAAAATTTGTTATGATCACCCTATATCATATTGAAAGGAAAATCAGTACACTGGGGTTTTAGGCCAATCTGCCAAGAATCTGCTTTCAGATTTTTTCTGAAAAAATCCCTAATAGTACCTACTTATTGAAATTTGAGCCTATAAATGTGGACACCCTGTACACCAGTACAGCCGGAGAAATAAAAGTATGAGCCTAATAAGTGCCAAATACGAGTAGCTATAAGACAAAAAAAAAAAAAAAATTGAATCGGTTGAAAAATAAAAATTTTAGAAGGGTGGTCAGTCCTTAAGCGGGACACACTGTAGATACACGCTTATTCATTTTTTTCTTCCTTTTAGGCTATTGCCAACAAAAGCAGCCAGCAAAGTTAAAGCGTTTTTTGAAAGTGGAGTTCATTCTGATAAAGGAACATGAAAATTAGGTCCAACATCGTTCTATTATTTACCACTGGAAATATATTTTTAAGAGCTTAGGATGAGGATGTAAAAAAACTATTTCGGTTTTGCTATTTAATTTTTTAATAAAAATTATTAAAACAACAGTATCTTAATTATTTGTAACAATATTTTACATGCGTAAAGGGCCCCATACACTACGATTAAACACGACGGCTTTCATCGCCGCGATGAAACACGTCGTTCCAAAACCGGAGTGTGTGGTAGAAAAACACGACGGTTTTTTACCACACACTTCGGTTTTGGAACGATGTGTTTCATCGTGGCGATGAAAACCGTCGTGTTTCATCGTAGTGTATGGGGCCTTTAACGTTCTAGTTCGTTTTCTTGTTCTTAATTAGATAATTTTTGGATATCATAGAAAAATTATATGTATAATAAAAAAAGCATATTAATATAAAGCTGTACGATAACAGAAACTCAAAAAAAAACATTACTTTTATATAAATTAACAATATAAACTTTCTTAATAAAAAAAAAGAATTGTAGTTACTAAAGGTTTGACAAAGGCTCTGAAGAAGAGATTCGACAGTGCTAACTGTAACTATCAACGACAATTAACGATGAAGGAACTTCATATAATTGTAAAACTGGAATATGGTCCGCCCCCAAAGCACTGCAATATATACCTAAATTAGCTCCCAAGTCAAATGTGCCAGGGCTAACCACTATCACAGAAAGCTTTACAGAGGATGTGGTCAATGGCCGAAGAGTGCGAATTATTTTTCCGCTCGATACCCAGGAAAAATTACTTGCCGCTTGCGAATTAGATAAGTTCGATTTATTCAATCTATTTACGTTGGTGTCGGTTTTCAAACTGAAAAAATGCAAAGTTTAGCATACTTATTAGCAAAATATCTAAATTTTTAGGTGATACATTGGCTTTGTATATTCTGCGCAGTTGTTAAAAACGCTTTTTGTGGGCGTTTTAAAAAAAATATTTATGTCAATAGCACCTTTCTTGGCACTTCTGTGCGTTTATCTTGGACTCTTGGTAACACACTTTTATCAAATAATACAGAGCCACTATAACATAATTTGCTCACCTAGGATCAATCGTATTAATCATGATGATGATATCATTCTCAATAATGCTATGTAATACTAGAGTAACTGGAACCACACAAGTACTTCTATTTTTGAAATTATGCGTAACCACTGGAGGATAAAGCAAGTTATAAGTAACTTGTTTTTTGGCATTTTCAATGCTACGGTCTTCTTCAGTTAAAGAACTATTTAAATCTATAACTGTATCAGATATTAGCGCATCTAATTGTTGTTCTCCTCTAATAATTTCTACTGGAACACAAGTTTGACCATGGACAATTCTTCTCTCAGATCCATCAGAAACTAAAGCTTTCCACTCTAAAATTAAAGTTCCATCTCTTGTTTTATATTTGAAATTATTCTGGAAGGAGTTTAACAAAGTTTCATGACTTTTTCTTGCAAACACACGAAGAGCTGTTGGTAAGTGTGGTAATTCGGCTTTATCAGAGCTCAGTGGTATACTAGAGTATTGATTGTCTTGGTGAACTTTTCTTTTTGCTTTGATTAAAATATGTGCCGATTCTTGAGAATTTAAATTAATATATTTTGGTGTCACAATATCTTTGGTTAAAATCCAGTTGTTGCTAACTAGAGCAATATTAAGTAAAGTTATTTCGGTTGATATTGTATTGTGAATTCTGTTGAGGTTGGTTGTTTTCAGCGCAAGTGCTAGATTTTCGGCCACACTTGAATTATAACTGGTTTGAGTTGAAACTTCTACGGAAATTGACTCTTGTACAGATAAATTCCATGAGTGCCTTATCAGTCTGTATCTAAAAAAAAAATGTACTTAAAAATGGCGAACAAAATCCAAACGCTGCTGAAAATGTAGCAGATAATTGATTTAAAAAAAAATATATTTTATTTATTTGTTAAAAGGTCTTGAAAAGTAGGCTTTAGGTTTCTAAAAGTTTGCCTTTATATGCTTTGAAAAAATCTCCCTAAGAAATGATCTGGCCATAAAACCATTATGAACATGTGATTACCATTAAAAATTTAACAATTGCGGATAACAATTCATTACCTACATAAAAATTAGGAAAGCATGAACAAAACATCAAAAAACCTTTTATTACAAAAACGATTGGAAGCAATAAAATAAAGAATAATCACTTTTACTGTAACCTACAAAGTCTGACCAATAAAATAAGCCTTGTGGAAGTGTCTATCTATGTCTTGCAGTGATTTGGAGCTCAGTTGACTAACTATATACCGAATTCAATAATCAATGTTGCACAGCACAGCAATATCTACGAAGAATGAGCACACAATTTGAGCCGTCACAAAGGCATTAATATATTATACAAAAATGGAAGTGGAATGTTGCGTCATTTAGCTTGAAATGGAAAATTGGAATGCCAAAAGCAGTGGCTAATCAACCGCCAAATAGAAAATTAGAATATTCGTTTAAAAAAGATTAGATCCAGTGTATAAGATAACTTCATGCATAACCAAAATTAAAACGTAGGAAAAATAAAAATAAGTCTACAGGTATGTATATAAAAAAAGTATAGTCCAGTCCAAAGGCTAGGAATTTCTATCCCCCACAAAAACCACTGTTGGATGTAAACTGTTTCAAAATTAAAATTAATTGACTAAATACAATTTCTTACCTAGGCACACTTTTGCTATCAATATTTTCGTAATAAGTAAGTAAATCAACAATAGAGGGTCCTTTATCCGATGGTGCTTTTATCCAGATATGAAACGAAATCGTTTGACCACTTTCTAGTATATTGTCTGGGAGTGGTATAGTTGTTATATGATTTTTTCTGGCTAATTTATCTTTTATCTGAATACTATCTCCATCACTTACAGTATACTCTTTTACATTAGGCTTAAGCTCACAATTGCTTAATAAATGAGGCACAGAAGTTGCTATCATAATGTTTTTCAGAGGAACAGAGCCAGTATTTTGAAGGTCTACAGACACTCTTTGCAATTCTCCCGATAGAAATTCCAAATTTATGTCAGAAAAAATCATCTAAAAATAAAAATAAAGAAAATTTTAACCTTAACAATAGAATTATAATCCATAATTGATAATAGGTAGTAATTGAAAGGTATTAGGGATATTTTCTTCATCAGAGCGGCTTCAATCAAACCAGATTTGCATGACCCACATTTTGATAAGTGAATATCATTATTATATAAAGAAAAAAAAACCATAGGTATTAGACATTCGTTTTTCTTACCTGTAGACATGGAGCATAAGGTACTACTTTCAAATTTATATGCTTTATGAGACTACTATTACTAGAAACATTGAATTCCTTTTTTCCTTTAATAGAAATAGAATCAGCATTATTGTTAGAATCCATCAAAGTATAGCATAAGCCAGTAATAGTAACATCGCCAGTTACCAATGGAGTTAAATTTAAAATCAAGTCTTGCATGGAACCTCCTTGAATAATTATTGACTTGGTAACATAGGTTTTTATATATTTATCAGAATTTTCATTAATCTCTAGATTCGAAACTCTTTCGTCATCATTTCTATAGTTCCATAGCAAATACAGATTCTTAAGTTGCAATATTGTCTGAAGTGGGTTGGATAACTGAACAGAAACTTGAATTGGTTCATTAATAATGGCTAGAGGAGTGTTAGCGTTCATCGCAGTTGCAGAGTACAAAGTAGCCATTGGCTTAAATATAAGCGGTACATTCCCAGGTTCCTCTAACAAAAGCATTTCCTCTAGCTTATGCCATCTAGATTCCGAATTCGAATCTTTAGAACTATTGAAATGTATGCCTTCTGCAGGTACTTTTCCAGGAGTTGATAAAGGTTTTGTTGGACCAACAAGAACTTTTATCAAGGAATTATTTACTTCTGGTACTGGGAGAATAGGCATATCTTTAGAATCGTCCATTTTTAACTTTACCTAAAAAATACCAATATTATAAGTGGGCCAGATGGAATGATGTCACAGCAAATATTAAAGTGATCAAAAAAAAAATTTAAAATAGAAATTGGCTGGATGAGCACACAAAGAACATTAGTCCTTAGTTACTGAAGAAAAAAAAAACCGCCCCAAGGTTTACCACTACAACTCGGCCCCTCTGCCTTGTAGGTCTGTTATGGTCTCTGGTAGCTGAGAGCTAACTCTTGCTGTGACAGGCTCTCTTTATCCTAGTTCATTGTTTTTTTGTTTTGACTGAAAAACTAATTGAACATGAGGCTAATAATTATTAGGATTGGTCAATGATCCCAAAAATTTCTCAAAAATAAAAAAGCTTCTCAAGTGAATACTTACTACTACCTAATAATATGAGCATCATAAAAATGTGGAGATATTTTTACTCACCTCTAAAATTGTAAGATATTCTTTTAAAAATGTCCCTTGTTGCGATGCTGACTGTTTACTTTCTCCAGTCAATAATTTCGCAAATGAGATAACAGCCTCATCGAATTTTTGAAGGTTATTTGCTAATCGTCCAATTGTGTAATGAATGTGATCAGCTGCCAAAGCCCATCCAGTGTTTTCATATATTTGATATGCTTGTTTGTAGCACCTAAGCATTGAAAAGGTTTACTTGAAAAGTTTTTTTCTACACCCCACTTTCTTATCAAACCACATCTGTTAAAGTGAGATTATGAATACCAAAAATTAGTACCTATGTAAACTGCTGACTTATTCGCGAATCAGTAGTTAACATTCCACTAAACTGCTTTGGTTTTTTGTGGGTGTTTGAAGAAAGCATGAATGAAAGGTGAAATGTGAAATGCATTTTTCAAATGTATTGATCCCCTTTTATCAGTCCATTTAGTACCGACCAAAATTTTATTAAATTGGGATAATGAACTTCAGAGGTATTTTTTTTTCAAAAACCGGTTTTCTACACTCAAGATGCCGAATATTTCAATAACATTCAATAAACAATACCCTTCCTATGAGAGAGTGGGAAGCTATAGGAGTTTACCTCAAAGAATGTTTTTTCTGGGCAGCCTTAAAAAATCTGTGACCAGCAAGCACCATATGAAATGCATATTTTCTGAACATATTTGATTGTAAAAAACAATAAGAGGCTTGTTCCAATAGAAGCGCAGATCGTAAATCAGAATCCTCACTTGTCATTCTTATTAACTGGTGAGCAGTTTCTCCATAGAGCTGTTTAAATTTGAGACACTCGAAACTTAGTATAGTTGCTCTTGTCGCAAACTGAGGTAATCTAAAAATATAGAAATTAATTAATTGAAATTTGAATTTAACTTCTTGTTCAAGACCAAAACTCTTTCCATTAATTTAATATAAATCACACCTTAACGTACTTGCAGGTAACTAAATAAGTTGTAATGCCTTCTTCCATATAATCATAAGTCTTTCTAGAAGATTCATTAGCCATAAACGCAGCTAATGATGCCATTTCTAGTGCACCAGCATAGTACAACCAAGCTTGATCAGCATTATAATCCCTTTTGGCCGAGTGATAAGCTTGGAATGCCGCAGAGTAATTTCCAAACATGAAATATAGATCTGCTAGTTTTCTTATTTGAAGTTCTGGAGAATCTAGTGGATAACTACAAAGAAATATTCAACCTAAGAAATGTTCATAGGCCAGGTAAGTTAATATGAAGAGGCAACTTGAAAATAATTCCCAGTCGCTAAAAAATTAGTTTTATTATTCGTCAGGGGCTCAGATTATCTGAACATATCTCTCACTGAAGTATACTATTGTGAGATTACTTGCTCCAATAATTATTCTCATCAAGAAAATCAAGCCAATTAAAAGTTTGAAAGTGATTATTAAACTAGCTTGCCAAGAGTATTCAAGTGGCCAGTGACTTTCGTTCTTTAATAGAGAAGATAATATTGTCTACAAAATTGGATCATAGAACTTGAGTCAACACATCAAATTAAATCAAGAATAAGTTTTACAGATTTGCAAAATATTAATAAAAAAATATATTGTGCTTACTGGAGAGGCAAGGTAGGGATTTCCACAGTGTTTTTGGAGAATTAAAATAAAATAAATTTGGAGCAAGCTGGACATTCTTCCCAAGGCCTTATTTAGAAATAAAAATATTCTTACATTAAATTATTAACTGAGGTTGTACTTGCAGTTGGTTTATTAGCAGTAAACCAACGTTTTGTAGCACTTAACAATGATTTGCTCATTCCCTTTTTATTTGCAACACAATCATTAAGTATCGCCAATTGTTTTTCTAAATAGGGTATCAAACACAATTTTGTTAATTCATATATCATTGCTTTGATTTGTTCGATATCATCTACAGACAGACAAACACCATGGCTCCATTTTTCTACACTTTTGAATGCAGACTCATCTTTTTCCATGTCTAAATCATTCTAAAGAGAAAAATTATTGGACATTTTTGTGAATCTAATAATAATCAACATACTTACCATATTGTACTCAAGTTCTGGACTCAAAGGATGGTAATTGGTATTTTTAAGTTCATTAGCTTCTTGTCCTACTTCTAATGAATGCTGTCTCAGATCTGGGGAATCATCAGAACTGGTTTGATAACATTCAATATCAATTTTATTGTTTAAAAATTGACACCAAGGATCTGCCAAATGTTCTTGATTATTTTGTCCTGGAGTGCGAGAATTCATTTTCAACAAGAAACAATTTGGAGCTCCATAAGATGTTTTTAGAGATTCAAAAGCACTGGTTGCTCTAAAAATTGATAGAAATTGTGTTTTTTTTCTGACACAAATTGACCTTGACAAGTGCAATAAGCAACAAAAATTGAAAGCTGTGCTTTTAGACATTAGACTTTGTGCTAATTTGCAATGGAGCATTAGTCTAATTCTAATCTAATAAAATTGCTGGGGATTGTATTTGCATGTCCAAGTACCCTAAAATCGATTATGACATACTTGACCACCACCAAAATAGATCACCAAGATGGTGGCAAATTTAAAAAGCATACATTGGACTAAATAGCTTTGTTCGGGTTTGAAAAAAGGATGGTTCTAGAACGGTTCAAAAAAGTCGCACAGTTTATTATTGAAATTTGTGAAAGCCGAGCTGTTGTCATTTTGTTGATTGATAAACTGTGCGATTGTTTTGAACCGTTCTAGAACCGTAATTTTTTCAAACCCGAATAGGCCCACCGAAAGTGGGGTTAGATAACAAGATATTCAGATTCGGGTCCATGGTGCACTGCAGAAAAATTAATGATTGCATTTTTTGCCAATTTTTTCCTAAAATTTTTTATCACAACTACACGTAACTGTTAAAATTTAATAGATTTTGATGGAATACAGTCGTAAATTGAAAAATAGCTTATAAGAGGTACCCAGGCCTCTTAATAGACCATCTACTGTAAATCCACCCTGTATAATTGAAGTTACTTACACTGATATCTCGCCTTCAACATTATCGTGTAGAATAATATAATACTTGAATACATCTGAATTAAACCATTTTGGCAATTTTCCAGGATCAATTACATTTTGTAAATCATTTAAATTTTGGGTTAATTGAATCATTGCTTCCACTGGATGATCATCAGTAGAGGACACAACCAACAAACAGCCTAAGAAATGTTTTGTGAATTCATGATCTGATGGGTATTGCACTTTCAAAAAGGTTTCTTTCCAGCTTTCAAACCAGGGAGTAGACTGGGGGATTTCAAATTGGTAATTCTTGGTTTCATATATTTTCATTCTAGGCTTAGGTGCTTCTCCAACTGATGAGTTCAATAATTTTCTTGCCAATGTTGTTTGAGGTGGTCTTGATTTGACATCAAAGAATGCTAGTTTCAAATTTTTTACTGTTGTTACGATACCAGTTGAATCTTTATAGCTTACTAAAAAAAACCCATTGCAGTGTATTAAAATAAGAGTTTAGGCTCCTATTGAATGAGTTTAATCAGAAACATAACATAACATGAGCTTAAAAAAAAAGTGACACTATGGAACCCCCTTAGGGCATTCATACAGAAAATAACATAGCATAAGAGAGTTTATAGCTACAAAAAAATACTGACAATTTCGAGGGCCATTTTGGTCGATAGGCTATTTTCTACTTAGGACAATGAATTTCGCTACTTAGTATAGTTCATACGAAGTCAATCCGAATAGCATAAAAAACTGCATAGGTGGCATTTTCTTATGAAGTTAAGCATATGCGTGCAACAGCCTAGGAATTCCCAAGAACGAAGAATTCTAATTCTAATTCCTAGGCTGCTGCATGCATATGCTTAATTTCATAACAAGATGCCGCCTATGCAGTTTTTTATGCTATTTGGATTGAGTTTGTATAAACTATATACTGAAACGACATTACCGAGGAAATTACTGATAAAACTTAGGGGCGTGACAACTTTTAAGTCTTATCTGACGTAAAAAACAAAATCCATGCATCCTCCTAGATTTGACATGCTCAGAGTACAACAGAAGAATCTTTCTTGGAAATTTTTTCAAAATTTTGTTTTTATCACACCCAAATGGGTTGTTTCTTGGATTTGCTTTGTAAGACTTCAAAGAGAGGAAGGAGATACTATATTAGGCTTATGCCCATTGCGGTGTTCTGGTCTGCTTTAAGCCTGGTTCTCCGAGTTGGAATGCTTTCGCATAGGTTGCACTGATCTGATGAGAACCTAACAAGTTTGAAATTGGTCTGTGACAAGCAAAGCATCCAATAAATGAGAATTTGGGGTCACTTCATTGTCTTACAAGGCACAACCACATGTATGTATTGTGTATTCTGGTTGCATCCAGAATCAATACAAGCTATGTTCAACACTTCTGTTTATTCATGATATTGGATAGATAATTTTACTCTAAATCCTTCATTTAGACTGTTTTTTCAAAACCTCAAATTTAGATGTTGCTGTGATACTAAATTGTTATCATTCTGTAAGCTATTAGAATCTATTCGGTTCTCAATAAAATTAGTCATAAATGGCTGTGTCACTCCTGCTTCCACCTAAAAGTCAAGGCTAATCATATTTTCTCTTATCTTGAAACATTAAGGATATTTTGAAATGCTTGTCTTGCATAAAACAGCATATTATATTATAGATATGATGTCATAAAAATGGGTTGGTGTAATACTCTAGGCAAGTTCAAATAAGCAGACTACCTATTAATCTAGCGCTTACCATCGTTTGTGAGTTTAGAAAATGGTTGTAGAAGTTCTGTAAAATCCAAGTGATTCTTTTCGCAACATTTGCGTACTGCTTGTGTGCACATAACAGCAATTTGGGGTGTAAAAGCATCCTTGATGAAATCTTGGGGGCCCAGATTGGATTGCGCCATTGCTGAAAGGTCATTAAAAAATTTTGAAGCAACTTTTTATATTTATCTCCAAAATTGCTACTCTGTTTGGGATAGAAACAAAAAAAAAAAACCTTTCTAGTTTACTTTATAGAAATAGTAAACTTTGTTGTCATGTTGTGTCCCCTCTTGCCCCTGTGTCAAGAGCGTCAAGAGTCACTACTGACTGACTGCAAAGCGTCAGTTGTCAGTAGTAGTCATCGGTCTGTTCACAGCCTCCTATACTTAACAAGCCATGAAGTTGGAAATGACGGCAACGTCGCGTATGGTGCTATTTTGTTATTGGGTTATGTGTTTCTGTGTATTGCTTTCATTGTGTATTGTTGCAATTTAGTATTTTTATGGGCATTATTGACGAAAAAGTGGATAGAAACACACCAATATATTGCCCATATTTAGTTGATACCTGTTCCTTTGTGCTTTGATTGCAAATTTTTAGCAAATGGGTACAGGAGCAAAAATGAAGGTAAGGTAAGGTAAAACAATAAAAACAATATTAATATTTGTCTGCAAGAGCATAGGTCTCGATATATTACCTAAGATATTTAAACTTGTTCCAGAGTTCCAGATGCCATGAAACTACTGTGTTCCTGGGTGCAAATCGAACTATTAGGAGTTCCTTAAAAACTGAAGAAATGCAAACATTTTTATTTCCAAAAAAATTCTGAATTGCAAAAAATGTGGATGAAAGCAATACACCAAGATAATTATACCCAAGATTATACAATAACGAAAAATTCTGTGGTGTGTTGTAAACATTTTGAAGAAACCGAAATAATTAGATTTGAAACAAACAAGGATAAAGGCGTAGTTCGAGAGTTCAAACTAAAACGTCCAACTCTTAAAAGTAGGTACCTCTTATTTTCGAAAATCAGCTCGAGTATTTGAATGGACTTGCCTTCCGAAAAAATCCCGAAGAAAGAAAAAGTTAGATTTTCAAAAGACATACTGAAACATAGGCCTATAACACTTTAGACTCTAGAAATATATTCATTTAAATCAATTATTTACTGTTCTTATTTACACAAATAGTTAAATTATTCATTGAATTACTGTTTTTGGCCCTTTAGTACAATAAATTATGCATTTTTTGTGATTCATATTAATAAAATAAAAAATATATATTTATACAAACAAACACCACCAGCACCACTTGGCGGTAAGATTGCGGTGTTGCCTTTTTAACTTCATGGCTTGTTAAATGCAGGGATGTGCGTCTACACGTAGACTTTCATTGTCTTCTTTACGTGTAGACAATTGTAGACAATGTAGACAACGTGTCAACAATGTAAAATAATATAAATGACGTCTAATTCTAACCTCACACTTTCCTTTCCGAAAATTATTTTTATTTTATTATCGGTTTTCCTCATATTTATAATCAGTGAATGCTGATATCAAAGTGATAGGTATTAGCTACTTAGGTAGTAGTAATTTTGGATCTTTTTTTTAAATTTTCTAAAATGAGTTTATTGTTTACGCCACATGTAGACAATGTGTAGACAAATGCCCACGTAATCAATTCGAATTGTCTACGCGTAGACAATCAAGTGTTTACGTTGACATTGTCTACAGGCACATCACTGGTTAAATGTAGGAGGCTGTGGTCTGTTCCAAAACAGCAGGAAACCGTACAATTTACCGTCACGACTCTGCGCAAAACAAAAAATTTGTTCGTAGCACGCATCTGTCACTACAGTGACGTCACAAGAGTATCGCTTGGCAATAATAGGCAATCCTCTTTGCTTAGATACCCTGGTTTAATTGTGTCAATCATTGGCTGTCTTTCTCCGTCTAGACCGTCTATCTACATTAATCTTGCTTCTCCTCTCTCATGTAACGAAATGGGCCTAAACGTGACGCGTTTTTCAAATCACTCTCCAATACTCGTCCAAATATGAGACCGCCGCCTAAGAAGTGTCACTTCAAAAACGCAAACTTGTTTTGAACAAGTTTCAATGAACATTTCTCGCGGTAACTTCGATACTTTTTGGTAACTTAGATATTCTTCAGTATCTAGATAAAATAATAGTCGCTTGCGAATAAGCACTTGTCTTACCTGAATGTTAGTTTTTTAGCTGAGCTAAGTAGTTTGCAAGGAACATACGTTGTTCGAGCGTAGGCGGGTAGGCGCAATTCTACTAAGCCATCAAAATATACGCTGAAATGTCAAAGTAACTCCTGGTGTTAGAGAGTTCTCGTGCCGTCCAAATTTCGAATACCGTAACGCTATTTGACAAGTATGACAGTTCTTTCTTACGGTATTAGCGTTAGCGGAGCCCCCTATCTAACGGAACTTAGCGGATGCCATACCGTAACGCAATGCAATGTCAAAACTAGTTCACGTTCCATTTATGTCTGCAAAAACAGCAACTTCTAATAATTCCTCCATAAAAAACACCAAGAGAAAATTAATGAAGCTCAGGAATCTTCAGGATAAGAGTTGAAAAATAAGCAAAAAAAAAGTTGAGTAGATCACTCAACCCAGCTGTCCAAATGTAAACAGAATAAGGGATTAGAGGATTTATGTGTCTTCGTGTCCAAGAACTATAATGCCCGTATGCACCATTGCACAAATTCTCTGATTAAGACTTTAGCCGTGATCACAAAATATTTTTCATATGCACCAAGCGTTTTTTTCGCCTATTGGCAATTAACTTTAAATTGCTCGATGGCCTGGAATTTAGAACAAGATAACCGCGGCTAGTTAATAAAATGAGGTTAGATGTTTTGTTTATTTTGGTTCCGATTTCAAATTTCATATTTACATTTTACAAACATTTTTGTAAAAAAAAAACTGGAACAAATTTGTGTGAAGTGAGCCAGGAAAAAAAAGAACTGAAATCAGGAATATGGAGGTGGAGAGACATTATTTGACAATGATTAATTTGGATAATGAAATTGTGTTAGATGGGTTTCCGTTTCCAAGGCGTTGGAATGAGAGGGAAAATTATTTTGAAGCCTTGGATGATCTGATCTATAAGCCAATCGTAGATCATAGATCTTCTTGAAGAGGTAGAAGATGCCCTATCATTATTATAGGGTGTAGTACCTACATTCTATGCAAATTTATGACTTGATTCTTGATTCCAATAACTAGGTAATGACTATGTAATTACTGTTTATTTCAAATAAAATGCCCTACATGCCCTGGATGTTTTGTTTGTTTGTTTATAAAATTAAAATTCATCGACAAAAACGCAGAATGGGTCTCGCCAACCCCACATACCGCCAACCCAAAATGGGCTTTTATTGCCTTTTATTAAAATCTATAGGAAATTTGCGACGTTATCGGTGAGTTCCTTTCAGGTGGCCCTCATTACAAAATCACAATTAACTAATTTGAGTGCAAAATCCTTTGGTGCATCGAACCGACATTTTTACCGTGATTACATAATTATCCGTGATTAGCTAATAACGAAAATACGTGAAAATGGTGAATAGTATGAGGAGCTCCGGGCATAGAGGCTCCGGGGCGTTACGCGCTTATTCCTTCCGAAAAGTGTTTGTTGCACCTGAGTACTCAAGCCCAAAGTAAACCATAAATGCACGAAAGTCGGCGAATCTGTTCCTTTCAAATCGGGTTGACACACCGGAGCGAGTAGCTCTAGTGTTTCAAACTCTTGAAAGGAATACAGCTACATACTAGAAAGCAGCTTTATATCCTATCGGCGGTTCACTCTCGTACTCTATCCGTTCCAGCGGCCGCACCGGTGCGGCGCGATCCCGACAATCCGGAGCCGTTGATCGAAACGAGTCTGTCGGTGTAATGTACTCCGTCTCTGAATCTGTGTCCCTACTCCGAGTCCACACTTTTTCCTGTTCCACTGGCCGGCGCGGCGTGATCCGATTAGTTCGAGTTTGACTCCGAGTCCGTACAACGTAGACAACGCAAAAGTGGTCCGGCCTTGAACTGGACCTGTTTATTTTGCAGTGGATCAGTTCCCACTGTGAAGATCAGTTCCAGTATTTGGCCCTGATAATAGCCAATTTTGGGTTGGCGAGACCCCATATCTGCGTTTTTTTCGATGAATAAATTTTAGGTATACAGTATACACAAACAAACAAAGCATCCTGGACATTTTATTTGAAATAAACAGTAATTACCGTAATTACATAGTCATTAGTTACTGGAATCAAGCCATAAAATTGCATATAATACTACCACCCTATCATAAGTTAAGTTAAGGCATCTTCCACCTCTTCAGGAAGATCTACGACTATTGGTTTATAAGAGGTTCGTTCCGACCCCCCGTTTTCGTATCGTCATGAAACGGTTTCGGAACTGTTGGGATCGATTGAAGGCGCATGCGTTGACCTTGCACGGTTTTATCTTGGTACAGAAACAACGGGTAGTTGGAACGGTTTCATGATCGTTTTCGTAATGACGACAGTTCAAATAACTTTAACCCTAAATTTGTTTGTTCGCAAATTAAAATAGAAGAATATAGGATTAGGATTACAAAATATAAAAAAGGAAAATCGAACACCAACGCTGATTCATTATCAAAAATCTGAAACTGAATCCTTGCAAGCTGATAACATCAAGGATTAGCAAATAGCTGATAATAAATTTTGTACTTTTTTTCACTTGAAAAAAATAAAAATGCCACAGTTTTATAAGTTAGATTGGAAATTGGTTGTTTAACAACAACATGAACAACAACAGGTGACAAAAATTGAATTACGCATGTCAGTCATGGATCAGTCCACGCGGTTCTTGCTTTCCACTCGGGATCGAAATGACGGTGCTAAAACCAGTTCTCGAACGATCCCAGGTTTGGTTGGAACGCCAACGAAACTGTACGGTAAACGATCATATCTCGGTTGGAACGCGTTTAACCTATGGCGCATGACCGTGACCGTACATTGAACGGTTTTTGGCTGGGTTGGAACGAACCTAAGATCATCCATCCAAGGCTTCAAAATAATTTTCCGTCTCATTCCAACGCGTTGGAAGCCCATCTAACACAATCATTATTAATCAGTATCCAAATCCTCGTCAAATAAAGGTGGTCCATCTCCATATTCCTTATTTGATTTTTCCCTGCTCATCCTCGCCACACACTATTTTTCCAGTAATTTTTTGGGGACAAAAATGTTTTTAAAATGTAAAAACAAAACAAAACATTCTAACCTCATTTCATTATAGCCGCGGTTATCCTAAATTCCAGGCCATCGAGCGATTTAAGTTAATTGCCGATTAGGCGAAAAAAACGCTTGGTGCATACGAAAAATATTATGTGATCACGGCTAAACTTTAATCAGAGAATTTGTGTAATGGTGCATACCAGGCAAATGCAAAATCCTTTGGTACATCGAATCGACTTTTTTAACCGTGATTACATAATTAGCCCTGATTAGCTAATTACGAAAATACCTGAAAATGGTGCATACAGGCATAAAAATACCATGTGAAATACCGTATGGTTAGCGGTACCGTATTAGCGTAGCGTCTGAGACACGAGAACTTTCTAATACCATGTAAAATACTGTATTGTTAGCGGTACCGTATTAAGCCTAGCGTCTGAGGCACGAGTACTTTCTATACCATTCAAAATACCGTATTGTTAGGGTTACCGTATTAGCGTAGCATCTGAATCACGAGAACTTTCTCAGAGAGTTCTCGCTGCCCAAATTTCAATTACTGTAACGCTATTTGACAAGTATGATAGTTCTTACGGTATTAGCGTTAGCGGAGCCCGCTACCTAACGGGAGTTAGCGGATGCCTTAAGGCCGGGACACATCTATCATGCATTCTTCCGATCCGACTCCGATCATACAACCAAGGCTATTATTCTTGAAACAGGGAAGCAGCGTTCCCAGGAGAACGCTTGGGAACGCTACTCCTTGTTCTAAGAATAAGGTAAAAACATCAAGAGAAAATTAATGAAATTAAGGAATCTTCAGGATAAATGAAAGTTGACCAACTAGCAAAAAAAAGTTGGGTTAGAATACTCAATTCAACTGTCAAAATGTAAACAGAATAAGGGATTAGAGGATATTTGCGTCTTCGTGTCCGAGAACTACAAAGTACCATTTAAAATACCGTATTGTTAGCCGTACCGTAATAGCGTAGCGTCTGAGGCACGAGAACTTTCTAGGGAGTGAACTCTGCGCCTACCGGTAGGTCCCATTTCTTTCATTGATTGTGTGCCTACCATATGTATAACGCTAAAACATTATGGTAGGTCCCCAATTGCCACATGATATAACGCCTATCGGTAGGTACTGTTTGTAAAAAGAATCCTGAGCCTACCGGTAGGTTTATATTAATTCAAGAATCCGTCGCCTACCTATTGTGCATATAATATGTGCATTTACGTTTGATAGGTGATATACCTATTTGAAAAAGGTTTCCCACGTTTTTGGTGGATTTAAGCTTCTCTTTCCTTGCGTTCGGTATTTTGCTCAAAGAGCAGAGCGTGCTGAGCGGAGCCGTAATCACGTGACCAGTGAGCGAACAGAGCAGTTGAACGCTGTATAAAAGTGCCAGAAATTTTAATAAACGAACGCGAATGAGGCTGCACCAAGTACACTTTTCAAATAAACGAATGGTAAAGTCAAGCTCGGAGAACTCGGACCAAAATAACGAACGCACGGTTTGAAGTTTGTCGAGCGAAGCGAGTAATGAAAGGCTCACAAATAATTTAAATTTCAAGGTGTTATATTTATTATTTAATAAAGGTTTTTCACGTTTCTGGTGGATTCACCTGCGAGCAGAGCGAGCAATCGCAGACTCAAAAATATTTGAACCAGAAGGTGATATACTTGAAAAAGGTTTTTTACGTTTTTGGTGGATTTGCTCTCCCGAGGATTCTCTCTCTCATCTTTGAGGTTTGGCCAGCATAGCGAGCAATCAAAAATAATTCCAAGGTGTATGCAGAAGGATTTTCAATAGGTTGCCGTCTAGAATGAAGCAGATTTCAAACATCAAGAAGTTCCAAGCCCAAATTAGAAAAATGTAGGTACTAATAAAGGCTTATTACTCAGTGGACGAATTTTTTAATGACATTTCTACAAACAAACAAAATTGTATTAGCACATTTAGCTAGCAAGAGCTGACTGGTAGGATATACGGATCCTAAAGTAAAAAAACACCTTCCAGTAGGCGCTTGATCAATTTCCGAAAAAGGACCTACCTACCAGTAGGCGCACAATCGGTGGATGAAAAAGAACCTACTGGTAGGCGTACGATCGTTGGATAACAAATGACCTACCGGTAGGCGTAGCGTTCACTCCCAACTTTCTATTAGGTCTGTTCCAACATGTCAAAAACTGCCCCATGAACAGTTTCGAAACCAGTCAGTAAACTAAACAAATTTTGATTTCTACGCACAAATTTTACGCTTTGCGCAAAATCGTGACGGTACATTGTACGGTTTCCTGCTGTGTTTGAACAGACCTACTTTGATATCGAAACATAGCCACTGTCATTTATATGCGTCTTGCGTCACACGCCACTTTAACGTCACTAAATTCCCTTCCTTTGTTTAGTCATCATCCCTGATTTTTTTGGTGAAAAATTTGATTATTTTTGGAGTTGGGATAAGATTCACCCCCCAACAGCGAGGCCAGAGGGATAAGTAGAATTTTCAGAAGCATCCGGGTGAGTAAAACTCGTACTGATTAATAAAAGAGAAAACAATTATCACCCAAGGACAAGGACACTGCTTTGTTCTAGAAAAATTGTGCAAGTCTGAACTTGTTTTTTTTTTTAAATAGGTTTTAGGCCTGTCTCTGCTTTTGCCAGTGCCGGATTTTCTTGCAAGATTTACGGTCTGGAATGGTAAGGTGTGTTTAGACTTTCAAGGAATAACAGCCAAATCATGGACAAAAGAAGGGGCCGGCCTTTTCCGGATGCTGTCATACTAAAACCACTAGCTTTCAACCTCGAAGAAGCTCTACAAGTTGAGAATTTGTATAGACCCAATTTATATGCCATGTACCAAAACGACGTTAGGAATGGGGAGGTGACCCTCAGCTCAAGGGATGATGCTGTTAATCGGTTACGTTTTCTCAGAGTTTGGCTCGATATTCCACACTTTACATTTTTTCTGTCTGTGTCATATTTGGATATGTTCCTCTCTAAAATGAGGGTAAGTGATAATTTAATTACTTGTTCAATTATAACCATTTTTACAAAGCTTTAACTTTCCTTGAGATTTGAAACATCTCAAGACTACTTTTAATTCAGGAAATCAATGATGTTTCTGCCAAAAACAAAAAAAAAAAAATATTGCTAGGTACTAGTAAAAACTTGCAACTTGCAGACAAAAGGTGGCTGATGCGAGGGCTGATGTCAATCATAACAAATAACAGGTTCATGATTAAGGGTCTAGTCAAATGAGTTTAAAAAATAGGGCATCAAATAACTTGAAATAAAAAATTTAAACAATGAGATTGCTGATGCAATGTTCAAGATTTTTTGTGAGATCTTGACGGTATTAAGAAATAACAAAATATAATGATCATCATAAATAATTATATAAGAAATTGAGCAATAAAAATTGTGAGCTTTGTAAAACAATAGATCACTGACTGATTTTCATGATATCATGTGCTTCAACTCACTGTAATGCAGTTTTGTGATATCAATGCTGGAGTATCTATGCTAGCCCAATCTTGTCTCCATATTAAAATATATACAGGTTGTCCCAAAAAGATACCGACAAACTTTAAGGGCTAGTAGGGGACATCAAAACAAGCATTTTTGTTTATATAAACATATGTCTGCAAATGAGCCATTTGGGCTGTAGAGCAAAAAAAACTGTTTGATACTTTTATTCTTCGCAATAATTAAATCACTGTTTACTTATTAGTTTTGCTTTATTAGCAAATAAATTATGGTTTACAATAATTGTTCAAAATGTTGACCATTTAATTCAATGCAAAGATTACACCGTCGGGTCATTGACTGAAAAGTTTAGTCTACGAAACACCTGTTCGTAATGAGGAAGATCTGATAACAACGATACTGGCGAGTTGTACCCATGTAGAAGCTATTCTCGGAATATTCCAAAGAGTTCGCGAGTTGAACAATTATTGTAAACCATAATTTATTTGCTATTAAAGCAAAATTAATAAGTAAACAACGATTTAATTATTGCGAAGAATAAAACTAGATACCAAACAGTTTTTTTGCTCTACAGCCCAAATGGCTCATTTGCGGACATATGTTTATATAAACAAAAATGCTTGTTTTGATGTCCCCTACTACCCCTTAAAATTTGTCGGTATCTTTTTGGGACACCCTGTTTAGATAGATAGATATAGTATAGATTCTCTGGAGAAGATGCAGAGACGTTTTTTGAGAATTATAAATTTTAAGATGGGTAGGTATATCCAAGAGTATTTCCATAGATGATATTGCATGTGGAGAATTAAAGTTACCACATTTGGAAGTTAGAAGGACTCACTTTGATGTGCTTACTAGAGATTGAAGTTTACCGGTAATTTTCAATTGTTCTTTCTCGGTGGTAATTTACCGGTAATTTTGCGGTTATTTTGGTAATTTTGGTAATTTTGGAAATATACTCCTGGACAAAATTATCGCACCACTGCTTATGGTGCTTATGTGCAGTAGTGGTGCGATAATTTTGTCCAGGAGTATATTTCACGATTCGTGAAAGAAACAATTATGACTATATACTATACCTATACGTTCAAGGATTATAGATTTTCAGGATTTTATTACCTAAACACCCATTTATTATAATATTGTTTGTTGTAAAACATAACCTCATACATAGAAATATTACAATATTTAAACAAATAAACGAAAAACGAGCAAAGAAAATCAGACAAAAATAAAATGGAAATAAATTCTCCTAATCTGGTGCTGAACTAAATACTTAGTAAAGTAAATCCCTACTTTTGAAGGGCAAAAAGAAAACAAATAAATAAAATGAGCTAAATAAGGATAGCATAAGAGATTTTTTTAGAGGTTTTTGAAAATTTCTATTGGTTTTTTTGGGTTTTTGCAAGAGTTGTGCTTCTGTAGGGTTTTTGTGTTTGACATTCCAAGTAAAAATCTCTTACTCAGAACTCCTGGGTTTTTGAAATAGGTTTTTCCTACGAGCACAATTTTAATTCAAAATATAGGGACTACTTATTTTTTACTTCAAATCAAATTTCTATCTATAGATACTATTTTCCATTGAGAAAATTTAGATCTTACACAGATTTTTTGATCAATTTTTGATAAATTAGATGAACAAAAATACTTGTGGAAAAACATTACACCTAACTTCTGCGGAAAATGTCTTTTCCACCCTTGACAGCTTGCCAACTGCCGTCGCGTAGGGAAACGCACCACTTTCCGCACTTGTTAGGTAAATAACTATTCGTTTATGCCAACCCTGAAAGCGCGTTACAAATTCACAACAAGATGGCGAATAATGCTTGAAAAGGATTGTCGCCTGAATGTGATTTCATTCAGGAAGAATTTCTGAAAATTACCGGTAAAGAAATTTGTCGGGTTAAATTACCTTACCAAAATTACCGTTACCGCGGTAACGTTACCACACTTTAATCTCTAGTGCTTACTATGTTTGTTTGTAAATGGCATAATTGCCAATCCTGAATTGCTAAGTAATGTTAATATTAGAGTACCCCAAAGATGTACTTGTCAGTGTGACCTATTTAATTACAATAGACTTTCAAAGAACTTATGGGTTAAATAGTCCTATATCCCGAATATGTGAACTGGCAAATTTTAAATGTGGGTATGCTTATCTCTTCTGTACTGAACACACCAACACGTATACCAAAGTTCGCTCATACTTAACCTTTGATTCATAGATTGAACTAAATTGAAGCAGCTAGGGGAAACCATTAGTTTTTGTTCTTTTTGCTATATTTTTAATTGTACCTATGATGATTTTTGTCTGCCTAGCTTTGAAATTCTATTGTTGATATATCTTTAATAGTTTAAGACAGTTTAAGTGCATAAATGTAATTTATAATATTATGCTGGATATTACGTGAATGTAAAGCGGCAACTTCACTAATAAATAAATTGAATTAAAAATTACAAAGCATCGTAACTAAATATTGGTTTATTCAATTTGACCTCGAGAAAAGAAATCTCTTTAATATTCTGGTGGTGATTTACTTGAGATGACCCAGATTGTTCAATGTCAATAATTTTCAGTGTGTTTTATGTTTTGTTTTGTTGGTGGATCTCATGGGAAAACAATTAGCCATTTAGTATTTTTCTAATGTAGTACCTAAATGTTCTAATGTGAGGCATTTTTTTTTTTCAGGTTCAAGAAAAATATTTGAAATGCATAACACTGAGCTGTTTGCACCTAGCTCTGACAAACTCTTGCGATCAAGTTGATGTTAACCATTTGGTGAAAATATCTCAGAGTAAATGTACATCGGGAGACGTGATCCGCATGTCAAAGATTATCAAAGAAAAACTGAAGTCCCCCCCTGTCAAAACAGCAGTCGATTTTCTCGAAATTTACATTGAAGTCTTAAAATATATTAGTACTCAATGGGAGCATATTATAAAGAAAGATCTGAACTCGATTAAACAACGAATGTTGATCCTTCTTGAAGTATTATTAGCAAACTCAAACACTGCATACCTCAGACCAGCAGCCATTGCTTTGATCGTATTTCAAAGAGAAGTGGAGAAGATTATGGCAGTTGGTTTGCCTAATAAATCTGTTTACTTTTTGGGAGAAGTGCTGCAGTTTCTGGCAACTGTTAGAGAAATTCAACTCAAGTGTAAGGTGTGTGGAATTTTTCTTCTATTTTCTTTTTTTTTTTATACATTTCTAATTATTGGTAATATAGGTATCTTTTTATTCCTTATGCTTAAAAACAAAAATATGGCACATTTGTCACACAGTAAAAATTAGCTTTCTCACACAGGGAAGGCAATTTTAGTGTTTTAGAGAAGGATTATTATTGTTAAGTAAACTGTTGTAGGATTGAGAAACGGAATGGTGACATTCAGTTTGGCCTCAAAGTTATTTAAAGGCAGTTTGACTTTTGCCTCCAAACTTAAAAGCTTTTATTGAATAGGTACCAAATTTTATATTGGAAAGATGAAAACTACTTGAAACACTGAAGAACTTTTTATGTCCTTATAGACATAACATCAATTGAAATCACTATGAATTCTTATATTCTTCTCAAAAATGCTTTCTTTGAATATCATTTTGCTTAACAAAATTAAATTAATTTCCACTATCCACTTCCAAGTCCACTTACACCTATTGAATTTTGGAAAAAGTAATACAGTACAACCTTGATAATCCAAACATCCGCTAATCCGAACAGCGAACGATCGAAGGTATAATCCGAACAACTGCTGAAAACCTCTTTACGCTACGCACACTACATAAAATTTAATACGTAATAATATTCTCAAAGCCAGATCTGAAGAATCTGAAGAAATCGTACTGACCAACGTGACTCACAAAGTAGCAGTTAAATGTTTTCAGACTTGTTTGAAATGGGCAGAACAAAATTCTGAAACAGATGAGAACTTTTTTGCTCTAAGGCCCAGTTTTCATCTTCCTGGTACCTAACTATCTGCAAGATAAATTTACCATTTCGGCGGATAACTGGCGGACCAATGGGATAACAGATTGCGTTTTTATCAGTCAGATTGCATACCTGACAATTTATCATAAGGTGAATAAACGGGCCCTCAAAGAAATTAAAAAGTAACATTACATTACATTACATAATTTTTTCACTCGTCTAACCTAAGTTAAACTCAGACTTAATTACGTACATTTATATTTTTCAAAAATAGCTTATTTTTGATTATTGCATATTTAAGTTAAATTTACCACCTGTTTTTATAATCCGAACAAATCGGTAATCCAAAATGACCTTAACAATAATTATTTCGGATTATCAAGGTTGTACTGTACTTAGATAATATTTTTCACTTTTTCCAACCATGGATTCAATTTTCACCAAGTACCAGCAAAATCAATTCAATTATTAAATTTTATTTATTTTTCAATTTCTGCAAAGATGCATAAATAAACAATACATAAGTATTTCCTATATTTTTAAGAATTTTGAAATACGAAGTTGACTTCTTAAAATGACTTCCAGGTCATAAAAAAGTTCACTGCTCAGTGTCCTCCCATCTCATCCCTACAGTTTGTAGGTTAACTTTGTTATGATTTTTACTTTTTAAGGAACATAAGGCTGAAAAGTTATTTTTATAGTTTTCATCCATAAATAAAAATTTATCATAAGTTTTTTTTTTACCTTGTTAAGCACTATCTTTAGAACATTGCTTTACTAATAAACTTATTTTATTCGATTTGATAATGAGGTATGTGCTATTTATTTCAGATAAAAAATTCAGAGTTGAGAGCATGCTTTTTGCAAGTCAGCAAAGTATTACAAGAGTATGAAAAACGAGGGAGTAAAGGTGACCGTCACCGAGAACAACTTAACTGGAACTTTTCCATGTCAACTGTCCAAGAATCCCAGAACCGATCGAGCTATTGTCCATCCTTTCAGACAATACAAGAGTAAAGGTTAACTTGTAAAATTTTGTGTGCGTTTTCAGTTAGTTTGTTAGTTACACAGATTCTTTTTTAGTTTGGTCTTCAAAGAAGTCTTTTATGGTTCCAACTTTATATTTTATTTAATGTGTAAATAGTAGGTAATATCCTGTGTAACTAGCTAAAATTTCTTTATTTAATTAGAAGTTCATTACATTTTTTTTTTTGTGAATGTCCAAATAAGTGATAAAAATTTGAGAAAAAAAACATAAAAATATATAAGTTTTTGAAAAAAATCAATTTAGGTTTCAAAAAATAAAATCAAAATTTTGTAAAAACTGTCAAAAAATTAATTAACTCGCGTTCCAGTTTTTTTTTTTTGTTATTTGCTTAGCTTTTATTAAACTTATTATATTCCATTCCTTACCTCACTATGGTCCAGTGTGGACTCTTCGAGAGAATACAAGAGCAAAGCTTCCAATTATGTGTTTAACTCAAAAAAAATTGTATGCATTTTCAGTTAGTTACACAGACTTTTTATTTGGTTCATTGAATCTTTATGTTTATGTTTTAAAATATATTTGCTGGAAATCTGTTGGTTTTTATACCAAGAATGTTCGATTTTATTTATTGTGTAACTAGTCTGTAATGTTCTGTGTAACTAGCTAAGATTTCCTTATTGAGATTTCTAATTTCAAGATCATTATTTTACATTTATTTTTTTTTGTAAATGTCCAAATAAGTGATAAAAATGTGAGAAAAAAAAAAACAATAAAAAATATATAAGTTTTTGGAAAAATCTATGCATGTAGGATTCAAAAAAAAATTAAAATTATATAAAAAAATGTCAAAAAATAAACTATTTTGTTTTTGTCTATTTGCTTAGTTAATAATGAACTTACTATGTTTTCCACTGTCTTACTAGTCCTAAACTGACGTTACCATCACTGAATGGCAATGAAACTTCTTGTTTATAACAGAAATATAAGGTCTATTAATTTCTACTTGAAATTGGCTTTTTATTTATTTACTCTATCACCTTACATTTTAATGTCTTGAAATAATTGATATTTCTAGGAAGAAATAAATATCTAGGTTTTTTTTTGAAAAATGCTGTTAGTCAAATTGAATGCATTGCTTTATCCTGAAATTGTTTGAACTTCAAAGCTTCTATTAAATATATTATCATACCATACAGTTTTCTGTACTTTTGTAAAATGTATAGGTATGTCATATGTTCGTTATATCTGAAGGGTTAATTTATGTAGAATTACCAAACTTTTTTCAGGTTGATTCATTTATCAGCAAGGCTTCGTTGGAGCGGCTTAAGCCCAAAAACAATTGGATAAAGGAGGCAGTTTTTTTGAAGGATATTTGATACAATTATTAGATAAGTTATTCTAAAGAAGTTGGAGAGTGGGTTTGAAAGCTAGTGTGTTGAAATGGATGAATAATTACTGATTGGAATTAGATCTTTTGTAGAAGGACCATTTGTTGCTATTCTAGCGCTGTAGACGTTGATGATCGAGTTGCTGCTAATTCTTCAAATTCGATCGACTTTGTTGTCAACCACTCGTTTTTCAGCATTCTTGTTCTTTGTATTTCAGCCTTGGCCGAATCTGGCTCGTTTTGTCAAATATAGGTTTTCCTCTTCTGATCTACGACGTTCTGAATTCAAGTGATTCTTATTGGCAAAATTACTGACACATATATATGAACGATTAGTAAGTGCATCTGGGGAACTTCCTATTCGCCTATTCGCTCAGACAATCAACGAAAATAATTTAATAAGGATAAATTCATTTAAAACTACGTATCTCCATCTCCATGGAGCTTTTCAACAAGATGTGATAGGATGATGAAATCATGCGATTCCAGAAATTACAAAATCGGATCGGGAGTCCCTATAATATTGGAATGAAATAGAACATCGAATAATTTTATGCTGAGGAAAATCTAGTGCTTGTCATATCAGTTGCATTGTTGGTTCATCTTTATCAAATAACAAAATCTGAAATATCACAAAAACCATTAGAACTCAAAGTGCAATAATATATCACTGAACGTATCTGTTCAGGAAAACGCGTCTCCATAATTTTTGTAGTTTCATGAAGTGAAAGTTGAGCAAAAATAATAGCGTTTTCGCTGTCATATTCGTCCTGAATTTGTTTTATTGTATGCACTTTATTGTTAGTTTACTTTGCTTTGTCAATGAGACTATTTTTGTCTTCAAGAGCGGCGTCAGATAAGAGCCAGCGCGCCATCTTTTGGGCTTTATGACATACAGTGAATATTTCTTAATTACAGAAGTGCAAATTCTCGTAAGTGATTGACTCACTTACAGGCATATGGCGACATCTTCGATATTAATTCGTTTACACAGTAATATACAGAGGACTGAATAGTTTTATTCAGATGCAAATGAAATAATAGTATTTCACATTAGCTGGGAAAACAGTTTTTACTGGCATTTGAAAGAAATGTCTATGCTTCCCGAATTCAGCGACATCTTTAGGACTAGCGCTGAACACACGTTTGGTTTGAGTCTCTGCTGAAAATGACAGCAATCACTCCCTTGTTTGCCAGATTTTGATTAATTTTGGAATAAAAATTCTATAAATTTTCGGCAACTGTTATTTTCATTTATTCCAGCCTTTGAATATAAAACAATAGGAAGGAGCATAAACCTCGAATCTGCGCGACCAGAATTATGTGGAGGTTGCATATGGCCGACTAGTGTTTCCGGTTTGGCAGTGGCGTATATTTATTCAAATATGATTGTCAATATTATGAGTCACTCTTTTCGCACTAATCCCAGTGCTTATTTATTAGTTAAAACCGCTAAAATCCATTAAACATCCACTAGAATGAGGACACAGCGAACCACCAAAACAAATGATGTGTCATACTTGGAGGCTCAATATGGCCGTTTCCGTCCCTTTTTTGCCTGTAGTGACAGATAGAAAACACTCCTTCCTGTAGTTTTATATTCAAAGATTCCAGCATTTCATGATCCGAAATTTATTGTTGTTGTGCTACGCTATGTGTTCATCCCTTTTCCAGTTAAATCCATGACCAAAATTTGCATATTGTTGTCAACAAAATTGTTAATAATTTTACTATACTATAAATTATCGCACCACCACTGCACATAAGCAGTGGTGCGATAATTTTGTCCAGGAGTATATTTAGACTGCGTATTTTGCAGCCAAAAATGCGCCAACCCATACTCCAATCTATTATTGTTACGAACATAACTTCATTTCACTGAAAAGTGGTCTAAATTTGGAAGTGCGCAGAAATTTGTGAATATCAGTAAATAAATTGTTATGTAAACGCCACTCTTAAGATAATAAAGCATAATTTGAATATATGAGAGGCTTATGTGGTTAATCTAGTTACTACGTCCTTCGACCTCCTCCCCTCCCAAAAAGAATACATCCACTTACCAGTTGCCCAGTATATTTCAGAATAATTGAATTCTAAATAAATGTGCGTGCGTTACACAAAATTTGTTTTCCCTTTAGATGTTATTATATATTTATTTGAAGAAGGTTAAAACTAGTGCATACAAATATTTGTGAATGACTCCATTTTTTCTTATCAATGCTTCTTCAAACTTGGAATTAAGAAAGCACACATTTTCATTAACAGTACATATTTATTAAAAATGTTTAATACAAAAATTAGTTGGGTACATTTTTTTTGGGAATACCCATTGAAATATGAAAATAATACAGATATAAAGCTTAAACTTTTTTTTAAATAATCACATTTTTTTCATACAATGGCCGCTATATCAACAAATCCTTATTACAATTTTCAATTACATGGTTAACTCAAAAAATACTGTACCTGGTAAAGTAAAAAAAATGGCAAGTGAACATAGGATTTTCAATATTTTTACTAAGGCAGGTTTTTAATAACATTACCATACATAAATATAAGATTAAAACTATAATGTTACAACATTAGAATAAAACATTTAAAATACATACAAATTGAATAGCTAAAAAAGTTTGTCAAAAATTATTAATAAATTGACACATCATAAATTACACTGCTGAGCATAAAATTAGGGTCATCCCATAATTTGCAAGCAAAACTTGGGGCAAAACAACAAGAACTTTTTTAAATTCAAGCAACTACGACAAAATCATCGCATAAAGTTAGTGAACTTTACACCAAAAAAAAAACAATTCGCAACAACCAAAAATTTTAAAAATAATTGCAAATTATGGGGTGACCCTAATTTCATGCTGGGCAGTGTATTTTTCCATGATATGCCAATTTCTTAATATTATGCACGCATAGTTACACGATAATACACATACATAAAAACAATCTCACATATTATTGAACTCAAAAAAACAATGTAAGTACATGTAGAAAGTCAATAAGTACAAAAATAATATACCTAAAAGTTTTATGGCAAAACTTTAAAAAATTACAAGTAAAAACTTAATATAAATTGGGGTACTTGGACAAAACTTTTCACTAAAACAACCAAAAATCTGGCAACAACATTTGAAAAGTCGCGACTGCCAGTCACAGTCACCAAATTTACTTATTATTGTTTTTGTTGTGCATTATTCTTGATGTACATTATTATTATTTTTGGGAGCACCAATACAGGGTGCGTGGTGAGGTAGGCTAGAGGGCGCAAAATCTGAAGCTTTACCAATAAATCCAACCAGGACCACCTGGTGCATTGAATGCCAGGGAGCTCAAAGACCACTGCCACAACAATGGACAGGTTCGGCTTAAGGCGGATGGCTATTCCATCAACGGCCTTCTTCGTTTTGCAATTGGCCGGCTTTGTATTTATAATTTCATTTTGATTCGTCCGTCCTCTCACGCCGCCATTTCTTTCTCTTGTCTGACCATTATCAGCGTCCCCGCCCTGTTGTGCTTGCATTGTTTGGTTTGTCATCTGTCCACCTTCTGGGCCTCCCTGTCTGAAACCCCGGCCCACTGTTACGGATGTTTTTCTGCGATTTCGTTGAAATAGCTGAACCTACATCAGTTACGGTGGGCCGTGGCTTCAGACATGGAGGTCCAGAAGGTGGATAGATGACAAACCAAACAATGCAAGCACAACAGGGCGGGGACGCCGATAATGGTCAGACGAGAGGAAGAAATGGCGGTATGAGAGGACGGACGAATCGAAATGAAATTATAAATACAAAGCCGGTCAATTGCAAAACGAAGAAGGCCGTTGATGGAACAGCCATCCGCCTTAAGCCAAACCTGTCTATTGTTTTGGCTGTGGTCTTTGAGCTCCCTGGCATTCAATGCACCAGATGGCCTTGGTTGGATTGATTGGCGAAGCTTCCGATTTTGACCTCCCTAGCCTACCTCTCCACGTACCTTTCAGTGTGCTTCCTGAGGTGAGCAAGGTTGCCCTGGAGCTGGAACACCTTGCTGTGAGGGAACACTTGGTTCCGCCCGTGATCTGTCTACCTTGTCGGCCTTCCTGTCTGGAACCACGGCGTGAACAGATCATGGGCGAAACCAAGTGTTCCCTGGTAGCAAGGGGCCCCAGCTCCAGGACAACCTTGTTCACGTCAGAAAGCACCACTGCGGGGTGCTTAGGGAGGTAGGGCCCAAAATCTGAAGCTTTATCAATCCAACCGGGACAACCCGGCGCATTGGGTGCCAGAGCCCGAGGACCACAACCACAGCCACAGCAGCAGGCTCTGTATTTATGATTTCGTTTCGGACTGTGAGTCTTCTGACGCCGCCATTTCTTCCTCTGCTCTGACCATTATTGACGTCAACTTTTTGAACTGAATGCCCGAGCAAAACCAAGTGTTCCCGTGTAGCATATGTATAAATAAATTAAAATTATTAAAAACACAAAAAAAAATTAAAACACCAAAACTAGGAGCATCCGGTATATTTCCTGTATGTTTATTTGGAAATAGATTTTCATAAATTAAAGTAACTAAGGTTTTATTACAATAAATTAAATATGTACATAGGTTGGTAAAAAGAAAAAAATAAAAATAACGTCTCAAAAAGACACCAAGTTGTTTTATTTTCAAGGAAAGGCTTAAAATTTTAGGTGAAATATCACATGGCGAACCTGCCGAAAAAGTTCTGGGGAACGAAGGAATTAATGGAGACCACACGACAGAAGCATCTAGGAGTAACTAGGGACACTATATCGTTTTGGGACTGCCTATAGCTCTCATTTTATTATTTGGGTACAAGTAGCTCAAAAAGGCGCTGGAGAGGAAGATAAGTTAGCCGAAGCATTGTCATGGTTATTATGTTTATGGATATGGGTGTATGATGGAATATGAATATGGCTCGAAGAACGTCTTAAAATGGGAAAATGTACCATCCAAATGCTATAAGGCATCTATGGGGAGAAGTGAAGATTTTTTATAACTATGTAAACAAGGATAATATACGAAGAAGAAAAAATGAGAACTCTTATTAGCTGTAAGTTAAATAAATTCAGCAATTTCAAGATCTAAGTGGAAACTATTAGGGAAAGATTTTGATGCAAATCAGTTCCATAATATGAAGCAGTTGAGTGTGATAGTGATAGTACCTATATAAATGAGATAAGTACATAGTTATTTCTAAAGAATTCGGGAAAGTTTGAGTGCTAGGTTAGAGGACATTAGCACCAGGCCAATTGGACGACGACTCTGCCTCCTCTGGCACAGATTCGGAAAGCTCTGAATTTTCAGCAGAATCAATCAGAATGAGAGACAAATTCGATTTGAAAACAGTTTCAAGTCTGTTCCCTTTGATGATGATTCAGAAATCAGACGTGATGGATTCAATTTTCTGATATGATTTGTTGCTAGACAACGCGGGTAAAAAACTACTAACCACATATACGTCCTAAAGTCAAGATTATCCGAAAATGCAAAAATTGTGTTAGAACCTAACTACAATTTAAATCAAGCGCTAATTCATGACTTGAAATTGCATTTGATATCAAAAAAATCGGCTGCATCGCTGTCAGTTAAATTTAATAGCGCTAAACAAGGAGGTAAATCTCTTGAGGAATATGGGAAATTATTCGAAGAAATGTTGACTTAGCCAACAATCTCTCAAGCAGAAACTGAAGCTACAGAGATTTTTATGGCAATTAATTATTCTTCGCTCTTTTCGATCAAGAAATTACGCAGCTCTCAATGATGCAATCGGCGGAGCAAAAGATGAAGAGTTACAAGAACAGAAGTTAAAGGCATTTTTTCTCATGCATGGCAGATATAATAATAGAACATCCAATGTATTTAGCTATAGCGATAGAAGGCTTCGAGGCAGGCAAAAAATTAATACCCACGCAAATCAAAAATGTTCAAAGATACCATTATAGAAGAAGCTGAATCGACGTGATTCCCTATTATTGGTTGGGCTACTAAATTGGGTAATAAAAACTGGCGAAACATGATAGATTAACGCCACTAAATGATAAGATTCAGGACGATATGTTTCCCTTAACTTGCATTGCTGAAATTTTAGATTCACTTTCGGGTGTCGTCGACTTTTCACATTTAAATCTTTCTCAAGGATACTACCAGACTAATCTGCACGGCGTTTTTCACGCATAAAGGTCAATATCAAATGATGATACTTCCGATAGGCTCGAAAATTAGCCCTAACTCAGAGCAATCTCTATTGCAATGTCAGATCTAAAATATTAAGATGATTTGCTTGTGTTTGGCGAAATTTAGGTAATCATAATTAAAATTTAATTGAGGCATTACAGAGATTGAAAGAAGTAAATTAAAAGCTGAACACAAGTGCGACTTGATAAAACGAGGAATATTGTAGGTACCTATTTAAGGCAGGCAGGTACATACTTACATGCGAAGGTGTGTCGCCCAGGTAGAACATCAAAATTTAATCAAGGCATTACAGAGATTGAGAAAAGTAAATTTAAAGCTGAACAGAAGTGCGACTTTATATAACGAGGAATATTGTATTTAAGGTAGGTATATACTTTCATGCGAAGGTGTGTCGCCCAGGTAAAACAAATACTAAATTATTCCGTTTCTAAGAATGCGAATGCAGTCAAATGTTGGGTGGTTACGTTACAGCCAACTATTACAGAAAACACAAAAACATTTTCTCAGCTTGCATACCCATCTGAACTATTTAACAAGAAAGGCAATTAAATTTCAGTAGACTCGGCAGTTTCAAGATGCATTTGACGCATTTAAATTATTTTAAAAAGGCCTGGTGAGTCCTACTGATTTGCAATTACCAAATTTTTCTCAGGAAAATACATTTATTGTTCAAATTGAAGAAGTAGTCCATGAATCAAAGTGGAGTTGAAATTTAATTTTCAAAAAAAAACACCAAGTCAAATAATTTATTTGTGGAGGAAGACTTGGTGTTTTTCTTTGAAAAATATTCATTGTTCAGCCTGGCCCATCAAATCCTGCACTTGGTGCTACGTTGTCAAATAATGACAATATACCAGTTGATTATGCAAGCCGAGGATTAAATAATGCGGAAAAAATATATTCTAACGAATAAGAATTGTTTAGTATTCGCGATTAACACTTTTAGAAGTTAGCTTCATGGACGGAAATTTATTATTTACACAGACCATAGATCTTTGGTTCATCTGCTTGGGACGGACAAACCCTTCCAGAAGTCTACAAAGTTAGGTTACCGCTGGAAGACTACATAGTGAGGTAATTACGTGAAGGGACAGAATAATATGGTATAGTAGGACCCGGCCAATTTCCATTTCTCTACGGCCCTTCCATTTGAAGTTATGACAAACGATAACGCGTGTGTATTCTTCTTAGATGGTTCGAACTTTACCAGATTCAAGAGTTGAAATTACGTCAGATAGGTTAAAAAACATGTCAGCCGATGTACCTATGCGATAAGAAGGTTACAATGCCAAAAAAGAATTGACAAAGACAATTTTAATAATCAGCACAAAAGAGATGATCAGCCTGGAGTGGTAGAATTATTGAAAAAGACTAAGTTCGTTTGAAGCATATAGCTCCATAGAACAAGAATTTACTGATTTAGCAAATAAACTGGATACATATGAGTTTTTGAGTAGTAACGTTTTAATTTCAATACAGGACGGGGTGATTATAATTAAGGAACCTTGATCGGAGTTAGCATTCAATGCACCGTTGAGAGACCTTAATATCAAGGACGCTTAAAAAATAAGTGATATTGAACTGGGGCAAATTGTGCGAATGCACCTCAGCCTTGGGACCTCAACTAACTTAATATGTATTTTTTTTATAATCCAGTGAAATTCAGTCCATTTTGCTCATTTTTTGTTAACATAAACATTTTGGCTTGTTTCTAAATGTAACCTAATTTCTAAAGACTGTTCCAAGTAACCCCACTCTTCAAAATTTTCCTGAAACCGATACAAAACTCTAGGAAGCTTCCATATTCCTATGTACAGTGACAGGTACAACCACACAATTTCTGTGGGGTATTTTTGTGAACATAGGAGAAACAACATGTGACGGATTATTTTTCATCGATACACTAGTGTGTATTGAAGTACTATCTGACAGAATATCATCTTCTAATGAATCAGCTTCTAAGGGAGCCAAAGATAAATGTTCCGATTCATCATGTGGAGTCATAGTTGAATATCCATGATCAGATTCAGCTGCAGTGTTATTTCTTCTGTAGTTACTTGCTACACAGTATGGAGATGGCGCAGGACAGTCTTTTTTTAAAAGCTTATCTCTATGGTTACCTGAGTCATGGAAAGTGTCATTTACGTTTAGGTCACTCATTCGTAATTGATCTCGGGTAGAAGACAAATAAAGTCTGTCTACTGATGGATTTGTGTAGGAACGATAGCACACATACAGTAAAATAAAGAGCAAAAACATTGCTATTATAAGACCTAATATTGGACCCAATGGAGAATACTCTGATTCACTGGTGGGAGTTATATCGTTCACTTCTCTATAAGGAGAATTTAAGCCATAAACTCCATTAAAACAACTTGTAATAGAAGTACAAAATGGTTTACTCAAAGAATTCCCATTTGTATCATACCTACACCATTCACAACCTATAACACCAAGACAATCTGAAATGAAGCGTTCATTTTGACAGTTGATATTGAAACACGGTTCTAGGCTGGTATCCAATGCAGTGGTAAAACTTGCATCCACTGATGAACTCTCCTCAGCGTTCCATTTACATGGCAAATTATCTGTCAAGTTTTGATTACTATCATTGCAATAACTGGATTCAGATTCTAAAGGGCATTCACAGGGACATTCACACTCTTTTTGTTCCATCCTATTGCAATTTAAACAGAGGCGGTCTACTATGCTACAAGGACAAAATGCTGGCACTACATCACAAGATGCATTAACCACACCTACAAATATATTTGTGCCAGGCACCGAAGTTATATGGTACGAAACACAATGCTCTCCAGGTATATGGTTTACCAAATCATCAGCAAAACTTGTGTTTAATCTGTAAAATCTTTGTATAGTATTATCTGCATAGTCATTGCATAGCATTTTCTTGATGAAATGTTTGTGATTTAAAATATCATTAGCAACTAAGGACTCTCTATGTACTATATGCTGCTGCTCCACTGGCCTGGCTGCATTTATATCAGTCAAATTTTTATGGTATATTATATACCCTTGATCATCTATAAGAAAACATGTAATTTTCTCATTTAGGCAATACGGTATATATTTCAAGAGCATTTTCAACATATATCCATAGGTGAGATCCATAGCAATGACAAGTTGCGGAGTAGCGTAGGCTATGGTGACTATATAGCCAGCGCCACCTTTATCTAGATAAGGGGGAATAAAAATTGTTCTATTTTTGTGTTGTAAAGCACGCAGGAACCAAAGTCTTTTTGTTATTTCTAATCCATTAGTAACTACACTACCTGGAAACATTTGTAGCACTCCACTATATGATGATGCATAACGCCTAACAATATATTTTGACATTTCAGATGATAAATGTTTGTTTCTCAAAAAATCTAAAATAAGACCCAAAGCAGATGCTTCGTTCTTTACTTCACTTTTCAAGCCCGGATTAATCAGCAATCCAGTATCATCTTTCAGGTAGGCCAGGTAACCTTGGTCGACTAGACCACCTTGGCTTGTTCTGGAAGCATGAAATGGTGATTGGAAACAAGATCTGCTTAAATATAGTGATGGTACATCTGAAAAAAAAGAATTGATGGAAATTGCGATTTTCATTAAAAATAAGACATTGATATTTGGATAACTTTAAACATTCAAAATACTCTCTTTCTATAAAAACGTCTTAATGCCTCGAATTAATTAAAAAAAAAAACAGAGAGTTGGTTTAACTTGTACAACAAAACCTTTTGAATATACTGCAAATTTTTTAAACTTGGAGTATCAGTCCAAATTGGACCGATACCCCATGACCTAACTAATGCGGTAATAACATCGTAAATGACTAATATCACGAGTTCCAAAAAGCCCTGCAGAGGTTCTTGGGGCGAAGAACAACGACCGCAATTTTTAAAATAGTTTTGCCTTATATAGGAAAAGGATTTAGACAAGTCAAAGAAATCTGAAATCGCAACTATTTCTTTTTTTTTTTCTTTCAAACTGAATGTCATGCATTTTCAAGTTTAAAGGTTACAATTACATAATTACAATACTTACCAAGAGTAGCAATTTGTGTGAGGTGCCTGCAAAATTTGTGATTTTCCAACCCATCCAAATTTTGGTACAATAGTTTTCTCACAGGTGCACTTGGCGGTGCTTTGAATCGATTATTAAAAGTACCATAATCTCTGTTGATTGCTAGGACCATAACATACCAGTTGTTAATTCTCATCCAATTATATTCCATCTGGAAATAATTAAAATTATTGTTTTTTTCCTCTGAGAATATAATGACATTTTTACCTGTTGGCTAAAATTAGTTTTTGTAACAAAAGTTCCTTTGACTTCAGAGAGCAATTTTCTTCTTAGTAAATCAATGTCAGGTATTACTTCGATCAATTCAATATCAACAAATGATAGTTGATGACTGACAGCAGACGGGCGTAATATGGAAGGATGGACCAATACACGGCCTTGTAAGTCGGTTAGAAATGCATAGGAATACTGTTGGTTGCTGCTATAATAGGTCACGTCCTCAACAATATTAGAAAAATATACATCACTTCCTAACATGATAAAAGTCTGGTTGGGTTGGGACATCAAACCAAGCGTTAAAGATATTGTGAAATCTGAAAAAAAATCAACTCAGCTTAGAAAAGTAGGGAACATTTTTATTTTGAGACTTTTTAAAATTTTAGATACCAATAAATATTATAAACATTTAATTTGGCACCTACAATAGGTTCAATCAATGTCGCAACCAATTTGAACAGCCAGGTATTCCACAAGAGCAGGGTTGATATGAAAAATTGGAAATATACCCCTACCTACTACTAACACATAGCTTTGTCTGCAACAGGTTCTTATTTATCTCTCATGAACTTTTCATGAAAATAAAAACAATACACATATACGTATATTGATATGTTTATCCATATAAAATATTTTTTATATTTCCATAAACATAATATTTTTGTACCCTGCTTGTTTTATTTTGAAAAAAGTAAATCTTACCTCCACTATGTGGATCCCAATAAGGTAGTGATATTTTTTCATTAGTTGTATACAGATTATCAATATTAAAAACACTAAAAAACTTGTTTTTGACAAAACCTATATCATCAGTCTTATTAAGAGTCAGCATGTAGCCAGGTTTTCTAAAACGATTTTGCGAAAACAAAATATTGTATTTTGTGAAATTCATGTCAGCTATGTCTTGTAGGAATTGGGTCTCGTACATCACTGGTTTCGATTCTGAAACAGAATGATATTAGCATTAATATTAAATTAATAAGATATCATATTACCATCAATAACAGCACATGTATGAATAAATACTGGAGAACTAATAAAATCAGTCTGAAAGGCAATCACTTTCAAAACACTTCTTGCTTCAGCAAGAGAAGACAGTAAACCTCTACTTATATACATGACCATAACAATTTCATCGTCATTAAGACTAGAAGTTGTTAGTATTGCTTCTAAGGCCTTTTGCATTCCAATTGCATGATTTGTAGCTCCACTGCCTCTTACAAGAGAATCAATAAAGGTATTCAGCTGCAATATATAAGTACTCTTCGCCTCTTGCAATGATAAAATTGGTTCAAATATTTTTCCATCTGCACATTCCCTATCGGCGTATGACCAGTCAGATGCTACTGCTATTAGAGCAATTCTATCATTTTCATTCAAGGATGCCAGTGTTTCTTTTGCTAAAAAAAGTCGATTATCAGCCAATATATTCGATCAACTTTGGGGGAGTTTTTTAATCATTAATGGATAATTTGGGGACAATCGGTACTATTGGAATCATTTTGAGATGAAGCAAAGACACACAAAATTCAACTACTGCCTGCTGACATGTCCAGGCTATCAATCGTTTCGTTTGTGGTAACTAACAGAAGTTGTGTAACAGAATATTCATTAAATTTATTGCTGAATAAAATAGAGCACCTATAACTAGACATGATATACCTGCAGAATAAATTATGTTGTGCATTATCAATGTCCAGGAATATCACTATAGATAATATCATTGAAAAGAAAATTTGCCCGCAAATAATTTTCCTTGTGGCCTACCAACAAGCTTTTATAACAATATTCGATGTTATGGATGAATGTAGCTAGTCAATATCTTTGAATAACATTTTGCCAAAATGAAAATTCCCCAGTTGGTGAACAAAATGTTATCTTTCAAAACTATAATGTTGATTTTGTCCACATAAAACAGGCCAGTTGGATGACATTCTGTCAGTATAAGTAGAACACCTTCACCGACTATTTCAATAGATAGTCAACAAAAAGCATAATTTTTGAATCTCTTCTTAAACCGATTTTTTCTTGTCAATATAGAAACCAAAACATAAAAGCTAGTGTAGGTATTTTTTCAGTAGTCATTTAATCATCTTTTAATTGATGTTCACTTGACCTAATTCTTTTAAAAATGATATACTTATTATTAAGTTCCAATCTTGGAACTTCATGATGACATTGTGAATCCTTCTCCAGAAATGTCTTAATTTATTTTTGATAGACAATCGAAGATTTTCCAGATGTAGCTAAGAAAAAGTCCTCAGAGATCTTTAATTAATTGATATAGGGAACTGGGAACAGACCTAATTTAGGTTAATGTGAAGGCATTTTTTAACTTAAATAGCGTAGAAACAGCTATATCAACATATATGGTAGGTATACTTGGAATCAGAAGAAAAAAAGAAATCATTCTAGCCAAAACTATACAGGGTGTTCCATTTTAAAAAATGCAAGTGTTTGTCATTATGACAGTTGGCACCTGCCATTTGCCCGTTTTGACATGTGCCAAAGATAATAGCTCCTTTTTTTCTACATGCCTATCTTAGCTAACCTAAGTTGTTATGAATAAAGGACCGTTTTTTTTCTAACATCTTATGTAAGTTTATGTCAACCGAAATTACCTCCCCCCTTGCCTAGGCCAAGGATGCCGGATTCCATCCTTAACCCTTTCGCTGCTCAAGACGAGTATTCTCTCTAACCACTTCACTGCTCCTGACGAGTATTCTCGCTAACCATTTCACTGCTCCTGACGAGAATACTCTCATTTCAAAATAAAATAGGATCTGAATGCTCCAGCCGTAAAAAATCGTAGCATCGTATTTTTTAGGGTGGCGGCGAGCTGGCAACGTTGCTTTTCGTGCAAATTGTCTACGGCGCGTCGACAACGAGCTAGTACATGTATGTGATTGGAAATAGCAGGGTTCACCATACAGCCTGGACTCTCGGAGCTGTTATATATTGTTTTTTTTTTTTGCATTTGGAGGATTTATAAATTATAATGGCAAAGAAATATTATACCGACATTGAATTAGAAGAAATTCTTTGTAGAAGGGATGACAGCGACGAAGAATATGAGGACTATACTGCTCCAGACGAGTATATTCACAAACGTCAGAAAAACTGTCCACTGCACGAGAAACGGCTCTCCGCCTATGCGCAGAGAAAGGGTTAAGTTCAATTTCTGCGCCCAGCTAAGATTTTCAAAGTTAGCTAAGATAAAACAGTGTGCAGAAAAAAAGCAGCTAATAGAGGTAAAATCCTACAACTTTGGTATTTGACATTTTTTTAATTTTTTTTTGTTTAAGTAGTAGAAGCCGCACTGATTATAAGGAAGTTTTATGTTTTATGACAATAGCATCATCCTTAAAATGGTGGCTGAATGCTGAAGAACCAAGAAAAGTGCAAGGATGCAAACCCTTTATTGGCCACACAATTTACTAACAAGTATAATAAGTGAGAAGTAAATATAATCAGCTTACCCATTGATTTACCAATGTGTAGCTATGCGAGTTTAAAACTGTACTTTTGCAGGCTTTAAAAATATAAAAAAGGCTGAAATAAATAAACTTATGGGAGATGGGAACAAAGGTAGGAGATGCAGGGCATCGTGTCGACCATTATTTAGGCGGGAGGGGATATTGACGGTGCCTTGTATTTTTGTTTTGAAATCTGTGAGTTTGATTTATAAGAAGTTTTCTGGTTTTGTACAGAATAGCAGTTATAATCTGCGTCAAGTCAAATTACCCTTACCAATACCAAAGTACGCCTTAACAAAACACTCCAATATCTATTAGAGTATTAAAATGTTCAACCATGTGCCTGAGGAAATTAAGAATAATGGTACCTACTTATGAAAATTTTAGAAAGCTTGTAAAAGAACCATCTAGTCGCCAAGGCATACTATAGTATTGGCGAATTTTATGAAAATTAAATGTGTCTATTGTTTTAACTTGTGTCAATCGGTGCCTGCTAGTTTTTATTTTTATTTTGTTTTTATTTTATTTTGATTTTATTTTGATTGTATCTTGATTTTATTTTGATTTTATTTTATTTTATTTTTATTTTGTTTAATGTTTTGAAATGTTTGCCTATACGTCATTGGATTTTAGGGACGGATTATAATTTGTCAGCGTTTGTTTTCATTATTTGTTTTGTAATTTTTTTTTTTACATTTTGTTTATGCTTGTGTCGTGTTCATTATTGAAAATTATTGTAATCCTAGACATAATCTAGCTCTAAGTATTTGCTTTGTCAATAAAACTTTTTTTCTCTTTGGTTTTCTGACAATAAAGCTTATTTTGATTTGATTTGAAGGAATGGCCAGTGATACCATTCACCAGCAAGTCTCAGCTTTAGCATTCAGAATTGTTCCAACAGAGAAAGAAAATATGGAATTTAATAATAAAATCATGAACCTAACTATACAACAAAAGGAAATGGAAAGAAGTCAACCTAATATACCTACGCAAGTGCTCTAGTCAGTCAAGGCAGTAAACTATCTGGCCCATCTAAATGGAGCAACCACATATTATAAAACATCTGCAGATGTTGCTGCATTTGAAAACCAAACAGTGGACTACAAAATTACCAAAGAAAACCAGAAATTACACGAAGTACCTCGTGAAGTACACTAAAAATTCACAGAAAAATTGAAATTATGATCTTGATTGACAAGATCAATGAGGCACCAATATAATGTGACCAATAAAACACACATATCAATTCAAATAACAAGGAAGGTAGATTTAAAAGTCTAAGATAACGGTGCAGAAATACAAAAACAAAGGTGATTTCTTGCATAACTTGAGATAACATTATTGAACAGAAGTGTATAACATTGAATAATGAGATTTGAACAATCGATAGAATACATTCATCAATATTTTTGAGACTTGAACAGAGTTGGGACCTTTGTTGTAGTTCACTAGAGGGTTGTAAGGCCTCCAAGGTCCGTATCTCTGGGCGTGAAGTTCAGGAATAATTCCCTGAAGATCACTAGTTACCTTTAACCAAGATAACGAGTACAAAGCTCTTGAAACGGACTTTGTGTATAATTATCACAAATGACTAATTTGCGTAATTAAATGAGTACCCAACTAATATTGTTCAATACTCGTTTTATTAATCAAATTGGTTCCTATTTATATTGTACATTTCAACTTGAACCTTATTATATTTATCATAACTAATAACAATGAACTGTGTGTTGACCTTGTTTCGGCAGGTATCTAAAACATTGGCGCTACACTGTATCATTACGGAAATTAAGGTGACTGACGCCGTGAATGATGAATCGTGGTTTTTTTAGTAAATTTGGACAAGGTTTGTGATACTTTCATCACCTTGCCAAATTTATAACAAATTGTGGATTTTATAATATGTAGAAATTTCAGACTTAATTAAATTTTATGTTGAAATTTCGAAATGTGTAATTCAAATTTTATGTTGATTAAACATTCTCCCCGGTCTCGACTGAGTCTAGGTTGTGTAGTGGCTGCAACTCGAACATTTGAGTTTGTTTTGCTGACTTCGGTCTAATCCTTGGCCTGCGTCGGGTTGCGCTCGTGATTTGTTTTTGAATGACCCATGCTAATGATAGTATCGCAAAAATTATTGCTGCTGAGATTCCAGTGGCGGCGTATGTATGGGTTTGTATGTTTTTCCAGATTGCCGTTTGTAGCTGTTCCCGAATATTTTCTTCATTCAGTCTCATTGTATTCAAGCTGTCAGAAATTTTGAAGATTGGTTCTTCATCGAGTTGTACTGGTCCGTTATTGTGCGGAACGTCTGTTATGTTGATGAGTATCGCCTTGGAGTAACTTGCCAGTACTGGAGCGGTGCTCACTCGTCTTATCGTCAGAGTGTTTTGTTTTGTTTTGACTATACAATCTTGCTCCACTTGCAGTATTCCGCTTTTGTTCAGAGAAATATCTTCTCTGATTCCCTTGCATATCACAGCTATATTGGTAGGATTTCTTGTGATGAATAGCCATGTATTAGGCATATAGAGTTGCTTCCAAACAATGGATGTTAGTCCATTCTGCCGGACTTCGCACCGAGTTGATTCCGATCTTTGATATATTTCGTCAATTATGCAATTCGGATTAGTCTCAATGTTTTTCACTGCTGTCGGAGAACACACATATTTGTTTTGTGATGTCGATATGCATGATGTGAATTCTTGATCGCTTTGCTGGAAATATTGCTGATTATTGTAGTCTACTGCTAATATCTCACTGGGAATTTCAATTGTCCAGTAGGACCCATTTTCGACTTTTAGTGGCGTGGGCACAATCTTCAGAACTTCAAAGTTCGAAATATCTTCGATCATGAAAAATGTAAATATTTTTTGTGCCTGATCGTCTTGTTCTACCTTGGTCAATGTGATCGGTGCTTGTACTATCTTCAGATTTGAGGGTAGTTTTTTGTTTGCTTCTGTGATGATTGTTTTCACGTGTTTTGGAGCTATTAATTCGTACACTGTTGCGTTGTTGAACAGGATTCTGAAGAGTTTCTTATAGTACTCACATATTTCGTCGAGGTAATTGTTTGCTAGTTGGTATGTACTCAGCAGATGAATATTTAATCCATTGGTATCGACGGCGCCGTACCAGTTTGCCATTGCGTTTACTGCCTCAATGCCTTGATTCAATTTTGTTCTGAACTGTTCTAATTGACCTTGAATGCGAACTTCCGTCTCGTTTATTTGTGAAATAGCACTGATCATTACTTTGCTCTGATGGTTGGCTGCCTTTATAAGTTCATCTTGATTTGACTGCAAGCTGCTGATGTCTTTGTATACCTCGTCGTTTACTCCAAAGACTGAGGTAAGTAGTTCTCCAAATAATCCTCTTTTCCTGCGAGTTTCTGTTATCTGCATGCTCTCTTTCACAAGAAGAATCTCTTTTTCTCTTTCAATTAAGTGCTTGGACAATAGTTCGCACTGGGTCTCCTGGGATAGGACCTTTGTCTTCTTGCGCAGCTGCTGGAATTCTTCGATGATTCCTGAAGCATTTTCTACATCTCTGTTGATTCTTTTCTTGTCTATATTTATTTGTAGTCGGAACACCCCTCTGTTTATCCTTGCTACTCCTATATGCTCCACATATATGCCTTTTTGCAGATGATGAATCGTGTAGTTTGCTTCACTGGTCGGTGTCCATATGATGAACATTGCTAGTAGGAGGAATTGACAAACTTTGGTCGTGCTTCTATTTTTACCGTTATTTTCTCTTACGGCTTTTTCATTGGCTTCTAGTATTTCCTGTGTTGGTTCGTTTGTTTTTTCTTCTGGCAATGGAATCAAGCTGGTTATGGCCCGTTTTAGTGTTGTGTTGCCTTTTCTCAATGTGACAACTCGGATTAGGTCATCTTTGCCAGGATGAACTTCTATTATTCTTCCTAGCGGCCATTGGGCTGGATTTATGAAATCTTCTTTTATGATGACGATTGTTCCGACTTTCAAATTATCCTGTACCGTGTTCCACTTGTACCTCACCTGTAGTCTGCTCAGGTACTCTGTTGACCAAGCCTTCCAGAAATCTCTCTTCATTTTTTGCACCAATTTCCATCTATGGGAATGGCTAGGATTAATTTCCGTGCTCATCGGGTCTGGTAGTGATGCTATCGGTCTCCCTATTAGAAAGTGTCCGGGAGTGAGTACCATCGAATCATCGACGTCATCACTAAGTGGACACAAGGGTCTCGAATTTAGGCAGGCTGCGATCTGATGCATGAGCGTTTTTAACTCTTCATAGGTCAAAGTGGTTTCGCCAATCACTCGTTTCAGATGATGTTTCATTGATTTTACACCCGCCTCCCATATTCCTCCGAAGTGAGGTGCTGTTGGAGGGATGAAGTGCCATTGTGTCCCAGCTGTGTGTATTACGTCCATGACTTGTGATTTTTCTATCACTTCCTTGACTTCACTTTCTAACTGTCGGGCAGCGCCGACGAATGTTGTCCCATTGTCGCTGTATATGTGTGAGCATTGTCCTCTTCGGGCGGTGAATCTTCGAAACGCTGCCAAGAACGTTTCCGAAGACATATCGCTTACCACTTCAAGGTGTATTGCTTTTGTGGCAAGGCATACAAAGACTGCTATGTAGCCCTTGTACGATTTGTGTCCTCTGCCTTTAGTTGCCCGAATCTGAATAGGTCCTGCGTAGTCGATTCTAGTGTGGCTAAAAGGAGGTGAAGATGTCACTCTCGGAGTTGGAAGCTCTCCCATATGTTGCTGTGCGGTTTCTTTTTTGTAACGAATGCACCTAACGCACTGATTGATTACTGATTTTGTCGCCTTTTTTCCATTGATGATCCAATATTTTCGTCTCAAATAAGCTATTGTTATCTGATTTATCCCCTCTTAGAAAGTGTTTACTCTGGATTAAATGCTAAGAAGAATGTGGTGGCTGTTTTCTGTGATTTGGCAAAAGCCTTTGATTGTGTGAATCATAAAATCTTGATAGATAAGCTTGAGTTCTATGGTTTCAGGGGTGTGACACTGAAGTGGTTCAGGTCATATTTGATTAATAGAGGGCAAGTTGTCCAAATAACAGATAATGGTGTCAAAGTAACGTCCGACTATAGAGATATTACGGATGGTGTGCCGCAAGGGTCAGTGTTGGGTCCATTACTTTTTCTGATTTACATAAATGACTTAACTTCGCTGAGTATTGCAGGCAGTTTCGCTTTGTTTGCGGATGACACTTCAATTTGCTGGATGGGAGACGATCCAGAGGTCTTACAGACAGTTATCTGCACAGATCTGGCATCAATTAAGCAATGGTTTGATGCAAACAAACTAGCCCTCAACACCGACAAAACCAAGTTTATGACTTTTAATAAAAATTTAAACATCTCCCTAAAAATAGGTACTAATGCTATTCATAAAGCCACGGACTATAAATTTTTGGGAATTGTACTGGATAGTTCCCTGAAATGGGAAAATCACTTAAATAAGCTTTCAAAAAATTTGGCATCTGCTACTTATGCTATTAGATCTGCCTCACAAGAATTGGGTGACGAAGCTATATCACTAGAAGTGTATTATGCTCTCTTTGAGTCCCACTTGAGATATGGGCTTGTGTTCTGGGGATATGCAACAATTACGCGACTTAATTCTGTTTTCATTTTACAAAAAAGAGCAGTCCGAATAATTTCAAATGCTGATCGGCTAGCTCACTGCAAACCACTGTTTCAAAGGTTGCAGATTCTTACAGTGTATGACCTAATTATCTTTGAAAGCCTAATTTTTTTGCAAAATAAGTCCTCAACAGAAGCAAACTATACGCATAGTTACGAAACTCGAAATAGATATAGTTTAAGTTTACCCCAGTCTCAGATGGAAGTTACTAGAAGGTCAGTTTTTCATTTGGGTAGGGCTTGGTATAATGCAATACCTCTTAATATTAGACAACTGCCAATTGGGCAATTTAGGAAAAGAATAAGGGATGTGTTGGTTTCCTCTGCAAATTATTCTTTCGATGAATATTTTTGGAATTCAGTGCCAGGGCTGCTTACTCTTCAATGATTGCCTGGGATGTTTCCTGGTCGCTTCTTTGTCTTTTTTTGAATTGTACCTGCAGGTTTGTCTTGGATACTTGTAACTTTGTGGTCTTATCTGTATTGGATATGTACTGACAGTTTTACTGATATTTTTTAAATTTAATTTAATTAACTGATGATAAAAAAAAAAAAAAAAACTGATAACTGCTATTTTTTAGCTCAATAATTTTATGTAAGCTCAGTATTCTTGCTGAGCAGTCATTGTTTTTGTATTATTGTATTATTATTCATAATTCATATTGTTGTAGAATTAGGTGTGATTTGTGATCAATGCCATTATGGCTGCTCTGTACTTTTCTGTATGTACTGATCAATAAATTGAATTGAATTGAATTTCCTCCATGTAACGTTCTTTCATGTGCGTTTTTTATCAGTAGCTCTGTCAAATGCGTGTGTCTCGGAATTATTATTGGATGCTTTTGATTGAACGGCACTGTTGAATTCTCAAGTCTTCCACCAACTCGTATCAAGCCATTTTGATCCAGAAACGGATTTAGATTTAGTATCTTACTTTTGTTATTCAATCCCTTTTTTTCTGCTAGGGCTTGATATTCGGATGATAGTTCTTGTTTCTGAACACATCTGATTATCGTCTGTAGGGTCGTGGACATTTCTTCAAGTACTAAATTGTTTTCCTTTGGAGATCCTTTTATAAACCTTCAGCAAAAGAAGAGTACTCTTATCATTCGTGTCAGGTTCGAGAATCGGGTCCATTCTTCTTTAAGTATTTTTACATTGGCATGGTGACATTGTTTTACTTCTTGTTGAATTTCTGGTACAATGTCTGTCTTTGGCCACTGATTTTTATCCTTTTTTTAGTAAATTTGGACAAGGTTTGTGATACTTTGATCACCTTGCCAAATTTATAACAAATTGTGGATTTTATAATATGTAGATATTTCAGACTTAATTAAATTTTATGTTGAAATTTCGAAATGTGTAATTCAAATTTTATGTTGATTAAACAGACTGTTTCATTAAAGCTCTCTTCATACATTATTAGGGAAAAACAGGACCTCTGGATTGTATCAAGATGTGAATATGATAAAATGTAAGAGTAGGGCCTAGGTTAGATACTTTACAAATGCTTTCAAATCCCAATAATTGTATAATATATAAACAAATGGATATTAATGAAAAAAAGAACTATGAAAATTTGTTAGTGCTTGTTCTGACTTAACAGGGTACCTAATAGCTTACCCATGGATTTAGCAATCTGTAGTTGCGTCTTGCTCAAAGATCCTCCATGATCTAATACTAAAACAACATTTTTCCGAACATATTTCTGATGCGACATATAATTTTTCCATATTATGCCTTCATCATGATCTAAACATTCAGAAAATTGTGAATATTGCTTATGTTTTATATCTTTTTCTGATATAAAATATTGCTGTTTTATGGCATTTGACAACTGGGATATATTTCTTCTCATTTGGTGAATAACTATAAAACATCCAGATTAGTAAATTAAATAATACAAAAAAATAGCAATAAAATTACTTACTATGTTTTGGTCCCAAAAAACTAGGAATACTATTATTGTTAATCAAATTGCTGCTAACTAGTATATCCAGAACACCATTTTTCTCTTTGATGCAAGGTAACAAGATATAAGCATCCATTTTATTAACATTTGGATTTTCCAATAACTTAGATGCATTATTCATACTTGAGAAAATCATATTTATTTTGTTCTCCAATTTGTGCACCATATCTTGTAGTTGTTTGGATTCTGGATTATTCGTTGCACTTTTAAAATTTTTAAACAATTTCTAAAACAAACAGAAAAACATTCATTAATTAGGTACAATTGGGCAGAAACCATACCATACATCAAAGAAACACTGGAAGCAACATGAAATATGAAACACATTATTTTGAATGGAAATTTGCATCAGCAAAATACATTTTATGTGTAGGTAGTCATTAGTCATGGAGAAACTTGCGTAAATAGTTATCTGGCCTTACAGTATATTTTATGTTTCATGCATCAGCATAAATGAAACCAGCAGGGCTGGAACTCTGTAACGGATAGAGATCGTTATCCCTATCGCTATGGCACTTGCTGTCTTCTTCTCTCTTGTCGAAATCAATAGAGAGAAGACTTCAATAGAGATAGAGAAAATATCTCTATTCGTTACAGAGTCCCAGCCCAGGTAGCTTCAAAGAGTAGTATTTAAGTATTTCCAGACTAAATATTTAAGACTGCAAGATAAGCATTTGCCAATGAACTTCAATTTGAATACAAGGCCAGAAATTTTAGCCATGAAGATATCAAATTGGAAATGCTTTGCATCATCATAAAAAAATGGTCAACACTCGGGTAATCATTACAATCTCCTACACTATATATTTCTTACCTCGACAAAAGGAATACACATTTCTTCATCTTTCATTATTTGTATCTCCGAGCTGATATTTCTTGATATATCCCTAATATCTACATTACACACACCAAAATGAAAGGGGCTCAACAATAACATTAGAATAGAAATTTTTGGCAGGACGTCCATTTTTCAGCAATTTCATGGTACCTAGGTACTCTTGTTAAAGATTTCATTCAAACATTTCAAATGGAATGTTCATAAAATTGCTATTTATCAACATTTTTTTACTTGTTACACTAAAATTAAATATATCTTTAATAATTTTACCAAAAACACACATAGAAATGTCAAAGAGAAAAATAGGAAAAACAGGAAAATACCTACACAGGAAAAAGGAAAACCACTACAACTCTAGCAACTAGAAACAGCAACTACTCGAAAAGAGTATGACACCTGACATCTCAGCCGCTTTCATGGGAATAGTTGTATTCCTTTCACACCTAGGAGGAGCTCCGGAACAGCTCCGGGGCTTCACGCGCTTATTCCTTTCGAAAAATGTTTGTTGCACCACGCATATGTTCCCTGCAAATCGGGGGCGACTAAGCACCGAAGCGAGTAGCCCGAGTGTTTCAAGCTCTTGAAAGGAATACAACTAGTGTGACGCCCGGAGCTACTCGGGGCGTTGAGCTCCCGAGCTGGGGCGAGTTCAGAAATAACACACCGGGTGTGAGTGCGATTTTATGGGTGTGCCTGAAATGACAATTCTTAAGCCTAGTACTCATAACTGCGAAATTCGCATTTTTTTGACATTGCGTTGACAATTTGACGTTTAATGCGTGTATCAAACGTCAAATTGTCGAAGCAATGTCAAAAAAATGCGAATTTCGCAGTTATGAGTACTAGGCTTTAGGCGACAACTTTCCTATGAATTTCTGAACGCTTGGTGTGACCATTGGAGCATCTCCTCAAAAAATTTCACGAAATGTATCAAGATTACTTTTACCTATTTTTATTTTGTTTATATTTGGTGGGATCGATGGGATTATGGGAGGAATGGTTGACATTGTTGACATAATCACACAATCACACCGCAGCCACACCAAAAAATTATGGTGTGACCGATGCGACGCCTGGAGCGCGCCCGAAGTACTTTCTCAACGGGACAGAGTGCGCGCACTGGGAGTGCCTCTAGCATTTATGAACGGCTAGTGCGTCGCACCGGTGTCACACTCACACTGAGTGTGTCATTCCTGAACTCGCCCCTGTACGTACGCGTCAACCTGTCAGATGTCACATCCGTGGGTGGCTATTTATTTATTTATTTCTTGTTATATATATAGGGCTGTTATATATATAGTTTTGATTCTCTTTCATTAATGATAAATAAAAAAACAAACTGCACAAACAAACAGATAATTATTTTTAAAATTTGACATATTTGACACTAAGACAGGCGTCTCACGCCATGATACTGGAACGGTACAAATCTAGTGCGTGGCGCCCCCGAGGTGCTCTGGAGCGCGCCAGAGCGCGCCAATGTGCATACTGGAAAGCGGCTCTTCGTGACTCTCTGATTTGACTTGACACACTATAGTTGTATTCCTTTCAAAAGTTTGAAACACTTGAGCTACTCGCTCCGGTGCTCAGGCGCCCCCGATTTGCAGGGAACAGATGCGTGGTGCAACAAACAATTTTCGAAAGGAATAGGGGCGTGAAGCCCCGGAGCTGTCCGGAGCTCCTCCTAGGTGTGAAAGGAATACAACTATTCCTTTCACACCTAGGAGGAGCTCCGGAACAGCTCCGGGGCTTCACGCGCTTATTCCTTTCGAAAAGTGTTTGTCGCACCACGCATCTGTTCCCTGCAAATCGGGGGCTACTAAACACCGAAGCGAGTAGCTCGAGTGTTTCAAACTCTTGAAAGGAATACTAGTGGTATTTCTTTCAAGAGTTTAAAAACACTCGAGCTACTCGCTCCAGTGTAGTCGCCTCCGATTTGAATGGAACAGATGCAACAAACACTTTTGAAAAGGAATAAGCGCGTATCGCCGCTGAGCTTGAAAGGAATACAACTTTCAACGAACCACTCCAACAACCACAAATAGGATTGTCTTTTGTCTTTAGGGTTTGAAACAGCCGCGTGAATTTAGTTATTGCTCCGCAAGCACACTGAGGTGAGACATAAGCACACGTGATCTTTCATTCGAAATTAAACAACTGATCACGTGGGCGCCAATTTGCTCGCTGATAATTAACTGACTGTTACTCCCGTGTAGAATAAGTCAGAGTCAGAGCACAGTGCTGGTGTAGCTCATGGTTACCAGAGCCGCTTTCCAGTATGGGAGTGTGACGCCCGGAGCTACTCGGGGCGTTGAGCTCTCGAGCTGTACGTACGCGTCAACCTGTCAGCTGTCACTTCCGTGGGTGGCTATTTATCTATTTATTTCTTGTTATATCGCAAGATTGAACATTTTAAAAAATATAGTTTTGATTCTCTTTCATTTTTGATAAATAAAAAAACAAACTGCACAAACAAAAAGAACTTTTAAAATTTGACGTATTTGACAGGCGTCTCACGCCATGATACTGGATCGGTACAAATTTAGTGCGTGGCGCCCCTGAGGTGCTCTAGAGCGCGCCAGAGCGCCCCAATGTGCATACTGTAAAGCGGCTCAGAGTAAAAACCCGATGCGTTTAGTGCAGTTCGTGCAGCAAGCAAGTGATGAAATGATTCTATGACGGTGCATACGAATTGGTTTTGATGTGAGGGGTGGTCTCGGACTGTCCACAAATTTAATAAAACCGAATACATTTGGAAACGTTGGATCGATTCGCCAAGGTTGTTTGGGAGAGGTACGTTGCCTGATAACTTTATGGCGTCATTTGGGGGCCTCAATAGGGTTGCCAGACGTCCCGATTTTAACGGGACAGTCCCGATATTGGAGATTTTGTCCCGTGTCCCGATGGCCTATACGCCGGGACGCTAAATGTCCCGATTCCACGAAATTCTTTTGAAAGTTAGAAAAAATTAAAAGTACTTATAAGGGCGAGTATTATAAAACTATTAAGGACGGGTATTATAAAACTATTTTGATAGAATATAAATAACTTAAAGTTAACTTGTGGAATGAAGGTACTTCTCATAGTATTTCCAGAAGTTAACTTTTAGTTATCTTTCAAAATAGTTTTGTACCTGCCCTAAGGGCGGGTATGATAAAACTGCTTTGACAGTTAACTTAAAGTTAACTTTTTGAATTACATGTAATTCCAGAAGTTAACTTTAAGTTAACTCTCAAAGTAGTTTTATAATACCACCCTTAGACAGATAAGTAAAACTTTACTTCAGGGGGCCGATTCTCGAGCCAGGGAGTGGATCTCCTCGAGAGAACACATTTTTCGTCTTTATCATTCTCGTTTACTTTTCGATTACGTTAACAAGGAAAAAACATTCGTTCTACCGGGAAGCTCTACTCCCTTAAACGAGAATCCGGGCTGGATTATCCCGCCCCTGGAATAACAAGAGAAGTTACGTCATTCCAGAAGTTAACTTCTAGTTATTCTGACAAAATAGTTCTATAATACCCGCCCTAAGTCACTCTTTTTGAATTGTACCTACTTGTTAACCCCGAGCTTGATTTTATTTTTCAGAACTATATTCGTCATTGATAATCACTGTATGTGGTGGATCTGTTAGAAGATTTATCTACAAAGCAAGTAGTCTATTTCGTGAGATATCATATACTCTCTGGAGTCTGGAGATATCCAGAGGTTTTTTCTGTTGGGGTAAAAAGAATGGGATTTTTGCCAATTTGGATTCTTACTAAAAGAAGGTGAACATTTTTGGAAATAATTAGTTTGGGTTTGTTTCATATTTTCCATTTTATCCAGATTTTAGCCCTTTTCTCATTATTTAAGAGGATCGAGCAGTTAACTGAAGTCGAATACCAACAACTGGACAGTCAGCTGGACGCATTTCTCAGTTTATTTTTAAATTTTATTAGAAATTTTATTGTTCAGTATTATTTTTATATCAAATTATTCCTTTAAAAAAAGTGTCCCGATTTTTATTCAAAGTCCCGATTTTTTAACAGCTTTTTGATTGGTATACCCGATTTGTAGATATTTCAATCTGGCAACCCTAGGCCTCAACATAATGCAAATCACCATAAGGCACCCCAGACGCGTCATCAAGTTACCCATTACCAGGCAACCTAAACTTGCTCGAACGCCAACCTACTGAATCCAGAACTGTCCTAAATTAGTTCGATAAAACCCGAACAAAAAAATTTAAACTGCGCATGCACTCTCTTGACAGTTCTTAAATAAACTAGTAATTGGGTACATTCAGGCGGTCCCAGCGGCTAAGCTCAGCCACTCAGCAGGGACTCTATTTTCGATACCAAGGAACAGCGTTCTCATAAGAACGATTGCTCTGTCATTGTCATTGTTATGCCGGACGACAAAGACAGAAACTTCGTTCCAATGAGAGCGCTGCTCCCCTGTTTCGAGAATAAAGTTCCTGCTGAGTAGCTGAACTAAGCCGCTGGGACCGCCTGAATGTACCCATTGCAAGAACCCGAATAGTTATTTGAGGTCAAGGATAAAACACATACGGACACTACTAAAAATTGCTTATCGGCCTCGTTTTTGGCAATGAACTATAAACTACATGTATCTGGAATGGCACCGACTGTTGTCGCATATGGCATTTGTCATCCCGCTTAGTGCGTCCAAAAAAGCTACATAGTGGGGGATCCCTTTCTCTCTCCAGTTCATTGCTGTTAGGTTTGGTATATTCCTAACCTCAAATATATTATTTTTTAGACAAAGAAAGATTTCCATAATTCGCCGATAAGATAAATAGAGATAGGTTTACCCCACATTCTCCATCTCAATTTGCCGCAAATTTATGGATCGGCGGGCCATTCCAGGTACGTGTAGTTTATAGTTCATTGGTTTTTGGTAATCGCGGCCATATTGGTGTATCACCATTGGCGACGTCATTAACTTTTGCGCCGGCGGTCCTAGTTTAGAATAAATTAACACAATAGGCAAACAGGAAGATGCAAACGAGATCTTGAAAGGAGTTGTTTTAGAATATTAATTAATGTAGTAAAACCAAGTATGCATAAAGCAAAAGCCCACGGAATCATAACCTGTGGTGTAAACAGCCTACGTCAATGCGAGAAACGACATGCTTCCTACGTCACAACTGGTAATTGGGAGTGGTGGGAGCGTCAGATTTGTTCTACACAGGCCTTATAAGGATAGGCTATCCTGTAGTAGTAGTGTGTATTACCCTTGGATAGAGGTGACGTCACTTGCAGGTCCTGTCGACTCGAGAATTGGCGAACGTACGCCATGCCTGTTAGTTTACGATTCTTGGTTTCTGCAGTTCGAGTTTGAGTTTATTGGCG